TTTTTATAAACTTATCATTAGAATATAAGTTTTTTAGGAATAACAACTTAAATATCTCCATCTCCAATAAAATTATTAGTAATAGTTTAATAAATTAACTATTAATCCGTTTTAAGAATTTCAGTTTGATTTTCTCTGCTTTAATTTTATATATTAAGAAAATTTTTATTAGAGTTTGAGTAAATATCAAGTATTTTTTTTTCAAGTTCCATCTAGTAATTTGTAAAATCAATAAGCTCTTAGTTAATACTGAACTATCTACTTTTTAAATGCCTCCTCGTTTCATAAAAGAAATTAGAATTTATGAAGCTTAGTAGAATTCTAGTATTCTCCAAATTTTTAGTTTCTATAGGCAATATACATTTATAAGCCTATTCTTTATTTTTAAATAGTTATTCAATATTGTGTTTTCCTTCTAATTTCCATTTATTGATATCAGCATCGTAATAAAGTTTTTCCTTTTTAGCATTAAGCTTTTCATTCTCGTCTAAATATTCCTTAATTTGTTTATTTTTTTTATTTTGAATGTCATTAAATACATTATTAATTTTTTATTTATATTTAAATTTCATGTATATTTGACTATACCAACTCTCGTATTTTCCTAAGTAAATTTCTGATAGATTTTTAAGAAGTTAGCTGTGTTCTTCATAAATTTTTACTAAATATTCATTAACTCCAATTTTATTTTGTGAATTAAAATTTTCAGTTGCTTTTTTTAAATGAGAATAGACTGAACTTAAAACTTTCATATTATAACTTATTTTTTGTAAATCTAAACATATTTATTTTGATATATATTTTCCTTTTATACATAATTCACTTATTTCTTAATTATATATTTAAAATTTTTAATTATAATGATTAAAAAGTGTCGAATTCGTGCAGTCTATTTTTCCTTCTAAATTTTAGAATTAAGATACATCTTTTATTTCTTCATTAAAATAACTCTAACATTATTATTAATAATTTTCAGAATTTTAAATATATAAGAAATCTTCAAAAAATTAAGTATTTCTGAACAGTTCGCTCTCAAGCACATTTTCAAGAAAATTTTTTAAAAAAAGCATTCTTTTTTTTATATGATTTTCTTTGAATTTTCTATGAAATCCTTTTGTTGGTAGTGGAGGAACATAATATCCAGGAAAATTTTAACATAATATATTTCTGAATGTTAAAAAATCATTAAAACGGCGATAAATAACCCATTCTAATTCTGTTAATTTTATTTTATAACATATATAATTTTATTTTAAAATTCCACTTTTTTATTGAGTATATTCATTAATGATAAATTAAGGTTGTTTAGGAAATTATTTTAAAAATTTTCCTAATTTATTAATTTTTAATTATTTGCATTTAAATATTTATAAGCCATCTTCATTTTTTTTTTATTCGCATTATTATATTATATTTTAATTTTATTATTCCATATAATTAAATAAATCTAATTATTCAAATATACTTAAAGACTTTATTTTTAATTATATGATTTAAATAAATTAAAATTATAATTACTTTTTCTTCAATAAAACATTAACTTTAATTATTTATAACAGAAATATCTTAGACAATTTGGTTTTTAGATGTTTGATTAAATTAATTTATTTATGAAATTGAAAAATCTTAAAATTATTATTTTTAAATATTATTTTATTAAGATATTTGTTGTTAATTTTATATTTAATTAATATAATCTTAAATAAGTTAACTTAATTCTTAATTTGAAATGTTTTCAATGTTTTTTTTATTTTCATGCTAATATTTAAATTAATTTTAGCAAAATACTTCAAATTCAAATTCATTGTATCCTTTTTCTATAATTTGTTATTAAATTAATTTATTTTTTTATTTAATTTAATCATCATTAATTTATTATTCTATCTAATCCTATAAATTATCATTTTCTTTTTAAAAATTTCTTTTTTATTAAATTATATCTTTATTTTCTTTATTTAATTATTATTCCATTTTATTTTACCTTAAAATATTTATATTTTTATTTAATTATGATTTTTGCTTTTTTAAATAACTTTCAAATTAAAGTTTTTTTTTTTTTTTTAAAAAAAAAAAATATATATATATATAATAAATATTAAATATTTAGTCTTTAAAAATAAATAAATAAAAAAAAAAATATTTCTTTAATAATAAGAGCTAAAAGCTTTTCAAATGCACACTTTTAATTTTCATATCTGTCTAACTAACTATCAAGTCTAATATTATCCTTTTGAATAACATACATATTGTAAATTTCTATTATTTTATACGATTTCAAATATTATCATACATATCTATTTTTTTTAAATATATTAATTTAACTTAATTAATATAAATAAAATAAATCATAAATACTGCACTTCATATATTAGGAAATTAAAAAAAAAAAACTTCAACATTTAAATCAAATATAAAATTAAAATCCTTATAAAATTTAATAAATTTATATTAGTTTTAAAACTAATTACTTATTAAACAATCTTTAAAAATAAATAAAAAAATATTGCTCATACTGATACTGCAATATATATTTTTTTACTTATGTATATATATTGAAAAAATACTAAATCATTATTAAATTTTAAGCATATAATATCATTAATAATTATAAAAGAAATTCATATAATTATTTATGTCAATAAAAACATATTAATAAAATAATAAATAAATAATGTAAAAATATATATAAATGAAAATATTAGTTGGATACATTTATATAAATATTATTTTTTGTATAATTTTTTTTAAAAACTCAATAAAAAAAATGAAAGAAAAAATGGAATATTGCTTTTTTATTTGTTAATTAACTTTTAAAAAAAGTAAAAATATATATTATTATATTTGATAAATTAAAAATAATCATCATATTTAAAACTATCATAGTATGATAATGATAATTTATTAATTTTTTTATAATTTATTTAAATATATATATATTAAAAAATAATATATTAAAGTAAATAAAAATAATATACTAAATTATTTTTAATATTTATTAAACAAATATATATTTATATAAATAAATAAACGATATTTTTTTTTTTATAAAGAAATATTTATTAATAAGAAAACACAGGAATAAAAAAGTGAAAGAATTAATTAACTATTAAATGAAATTTTCGATATTAAAATAATTATTTAGAAATATTACAATATTAAGATTTAGAATGGCAATAAGATAGATACATACTTATAAAATATTGTATAATCTATTAATTGACAAGTGCTTTTATTATACATTGAGCTAATATAAATATTATAAAATAAAAATATATTATTGAAAATGAGATTAAGAAAATATAAATTTACTGCATACATAAAAATTTTTAATTAGAATATTATAAAGTAATCATAAATATATAATAATATAACTAATTTAATATATATTCATAAAAGATTAATTAAACGGGAATATAAATAAATTATATTTATAATTAATAATCTAAAAGATTAAGATTTATTTAAAATAAAAAAATTATTTATGTAGTGTAAAATATTATTTAATTTATTTATATATAATAAAAAATAATATTTAATTTTAATAAATAAAGTCTTAAAAAAAAAAAATTTAACATATTTTATTTAGCTTTTATAAAATTATTTTAATATTTTAAATATATTAATTAAAATTATTTTATTCTTAATTATTCATTTGATGTTTTTTTATTTTCTTTCAATTAAATCCATAATATATCCATAAGTATAAAAAGTATTTTCAAGTTATTAATTTTTTGGATGAAATTAAATTTATTTAATATTCAGATTTAAAAGTATAGAATCATAAATATTTTTTTTTTAAGTTAAATAAAATAAATACAAAAAGCAATTTCTATATAATTAATAAATGATAAATTTAATTTTAAATCCGATAAATTAAAATTATTTATGTAATCACTAAAGTTCTGAATTATTTCTTATTAATTATAATTTTAAAATGTTTATTTATTTTAATTTGTCCATTGTGTATAATTTAATATATTATCATCTAAATAGAATTCAGATTTTTTATTTTATTTATTTTTTAAAAATTAATTTTATAAAGAACTTCTTTAAAATAAATAAAATTTAATATGATCTGTATTTTCACATTCTAAAAGAAATATTAAAAATTGAATTTCTTCTTTTTTTTTACAATATATGTTCATTTAATCAAAAAAGCAAAAAAAAAATTCACTTATGAACTCTTTTTTTTAGAGTTTTTATTCAACATAACAAATTACTTCTTAAAAAAAATCAAATATTTAGTTTTAGTCATATTTTTTTATTAAATACAAAAATAAATCAACTATTGTATTTATAATTTATTTCAAAGAAAATATTTGATTTTACTGTTATTTATTAGGATAAATTAATACATTATACTTATTTATTTTTGCTATTATATTTTATGTACTTGAGTTTTTTATTTGTTAATATATGTTCATTAAATTATTGATTAAAATATATAAAAAAGAAATTTTTATTAAAAATCACAAATAGAAATTAATTATAATAAAAAAATAGATTTTTAAAATTAAAATAGTAAGTATAACTAATTTTTATATTAGTATTTTATAATTTCTTAAAAACATGAAATTCTTATCTTAAATTAGCTAAAAAATGAATATTTAAAAATTATTTTATTAATCTATAATACAATCATTGATTAAAAATTATAATATAAATGATAAATCTAATAATATTATTCTAAAAAATTTAGAAGACTTTATGTTTTTTTTTATTATATATTGGTTTAAAATAATTTCATTTCATTTAAAACTATTTCTTTTTGTTATTTTTTGATTTATAAACCAATAAATAAAAATTAAATAATAATCATATTTTTTTTAAAATATTTTACTTCTATTTAAAACATATTTTCAAATTTAATAAATAAATATAAATTAATATCTTGTTTTTGGAAACAAATAAACAATTATTTTATTATTTTTAATATTTTAAAGACAATTATAAGTATATTATTTATTATTCTTAACAATATATAATTCTTTAAATAAGAAAAGAAAAATAATGTAAATTTAAATAAATATAAAAATGCATATAAAAAAGGTAAACATGAACAGTTATATGTATTTTTTCCTGATATCAATTTATATAGCTATAATTATATTAATAGAAATAATTTTACCCTAAAAATAAAAAATTAAAAGAATTATTTCTTCATTATAATTATTGTTTTTCTCTATTTTTTAATGCAATTTAAGTTGCAATTCTATTCAATTCAGTCATTCCTTCTTTGGTGATAACTCTTGAAAATTTCTTCAAGGCTGATGTCTTATCCTTTCTAAGAATTTTCAATTCTTCTAATTATTATAAAGACCATCTTACTAATTTTCCATGGCAATGTTCATGAACATTTCTTAAGCAACCTCTTCTTTTAACAGATCCGAAAATATGTCTTAATGTAGATACTCCTGTGTGAGGTTTTAAATATATTTTACGAGCTACAGCAGCAACTCTTAAGTATACCCAATCAGGATCAGTTGGGGCTAATTCGTTAGCAGTTGATGTTTAGGTCCATTCAGTCCAAGCGGGAACTTTAAGTTTGTTTGCTTTTTTTAAGTGATCAGCGTATTCTCTAATAAATTAAGCGGCTGCTACGTCCTTTACTGTAAAGAAATTTTATTCTTTATTAAGCATTTTTTTTTTTTTCTTTGTTTTTTTTTTTTAGTATTTTGTTTTGTTTTTTTTTTTCTTTACTTATTTTATATATTGATTATTTTAGTCTTTTAATATTTAATAATTATTATTTATATAAAAATAAAAAAAATATATTAGTGATTTTTTAAAAATTGAAATGTATTATTTAAAGATATTAAAAAGAAAAAACTCTATTTCTCTATTTAATTCAATAAAAAGTTTAGTATTTAAAATATATTTAATATTAAAATAAATATAATTATGCTAAAATATTTATAAATATCGCATTATTTTAAATTTTTAGTTTATATTTTAAGTAAATATTTAATTTTTGTGCTTTATTGATATATATTATGTATTCATAAAATTTATAATATTTCAAAAATTAATAATATTCGCAATTATATTTATATAAAGCCTTTAAAAAAAATTAATATAATTATTTATATATATAAAATACCGCAAATATTAACATTCCAAAGTTTTCTATAAACATTATAAGAACCTTATATACATTATATAATAAAAATTGTTTAATTATTAATTTAGGATAATATAATAATAGTTTAAATTACATTTATCTAAATATAGAATATAAAACCTGATGTAAAATAAATTATATTTGCATTTTTAATCTCGATTTTTTAAGTAAGAGCATTAAAAAAAAGATACTAAAATTGATGGAGATACTCTGTGCCCTAAAAAACAGAATAAATATTATCAATAGGTGAAAAAAAGATTAAAATTTAAAAACTATAGAAATTAAAAATGAAAGTAGTATATATAATTTATATAAATCTCTAAATTAATAATAAAATTTAAAAGCAACAAAACAGAATTAAAGAAAATATGTAAATGTATACTCAGAAGATTATTAAAGGACCTAATATTAAATATGTGATATAATAAAATGAATATTTATAATATCAAAAATATTAAGAAACTATATCTAAAGTTTTCATATAAAAAATATAAAAAAATATATAATTGTTAATATATTTATAATAGATATTTATTTCATAAAGGTGTAATTCTACTTAAAAATAAAGTATTGAATTAAGAAAATATAAAATAAAAAAAAAATTACTTATAAAAAAATGTGGGAATTACTCGTTTGAACTAAATGAAAATAAAAAGATGTTTTAAATAATATATAAAAAAAAAAATTATAAAAAAAATAAAATAAAAAATAAAAAAAAAAAATATTATAAGAATATAACAAAAAAAATTATAGTAATAAAAATATATTAATATTTATATTTATATTTATATTTATATTTATATTATTTATATACTATTTATAATTTAAATAGTTTTTTTAAATAAAATAAATTAATTTTTTTTTTATTTATTTATATGTAATATTAAACATTTTATATAAAAAAAAATAAGTGTACTATATATAATTATAATTTAAATTTATTTATATATTTTTTTTTATTTAATAATTTTTTTTTTCATATTATTATTAATTTGTTTTATGAATTTTCAATAAATTTATTAAAACTTTCATATTTAGATGTCATTATTGAAATTTAAAATTATTTTTACAACCTAAAATTTATATAGTAATTTATCATAATTGTATATTTTTATTTTTTTACTATTAATTTTTATTTATATCATTATATTTTTCTTTATATTAATCAAAAGGTAACCTTTCATTATTTTTTTATCTCATTATTTCTATATTTTTATCGCCTTATTCAATTTCTTATAAAAAAATATCTATTTTTTAAACCTTTTTTTATTTAAATAAATTTATATTTCTTAAAAAAATATTACTTCTATAATTGGAGATTCTTCCCCATCACTATCATCATCAGTTATTTAATCATCTATTTCTATCTCAATAATTTTTTAAGGACAATATTAATCAATATTTTAAATAAATCCACAGTCTATTTCAAAAAAATAATTAAATATAAAAATTAATAAATCAAACCGTTTGGTAAATTTATATTATTATTTAAATAATATTGCATTTCAGTTTGATAATCATTTAAAGGTATTCTTGAATAATATCCTGGAGTTTTATCTATGAAGTCGTTTTTCAAAAGATTATATTCTAATATTAAAGAAGGATCTAAATTATCAATTAAGTTTAATTTTTCATGTTATAAATAAAATTCATAATCTCCTTCCACATAATTTCTATATTAAAAATAACTTCTAATAGAGTGATGTGGAGAAATAAATGAATTTAAAGGAGTTTCTAAACATTTAAAAAAACTATCTTGAATTTAAACCAAGTCAGTATCTTTATCTTTATTTATTTATTTTTTATAACCAATATTATATTTTTAAAAATACCAAATCCCATTTTCCCCCTAATATTATATTCTTATTCTGCTCCATTTCTAATTTCCTTATTATTTTCTAAAGGACAGAAGTTAACATAAGGAGATAATTAATAAACTATTATTTTAATATAATTTATTTTGAATAAAAAAATTATATAAATAAATATAAATTTAATAATTTTAATAAAAACTTTCGTAATGCATTAAATCTATATCATTTTTAGGATAAACTTCATAACTAATTAAATCATCAAATCCACTTCTCACCTGAGTATCAAATTTAAATTCTAATTGCCTATTTGAAGATTCGTATTAAATTGGAAATAATACTTAGGGAATTTGATTATTTAAATTTAAAGAAAAACTAATAAAATTTTTTTTCCTTAACCTAAATAATCTGCTTTTTAAGTTTCTTAGTTTACCATAATTTTTACTTCTTCTTTTGTGGAAGCATTATTTAACCAAATTTTTATTTTTTAAAGCACTTTTTCCATTCTTTATTTTAAAACAACTCTTGTTACTGCATTTACAAAATTATTTAATTTATTTTTTCTTAATTTTAAAGTATCATTTTTATCATAATCCCATGTTGGTTATAATTATTCTATCTTTTAATCCAAAATAGGTTAATCTTAATTTATTTTTTTATCGTGTCTATGAATTCCTTCGATTTCTATTTAATAATACTTCTATTATATATATTATGTCCTTTCATCTTTTATTCCTTCAATTTCATACATTTAGATTTGACGATCTCCTATGCATTAAAAAAATTTGATTTATTTATATTTATCCATAAGACTTATCTGTGAACATTTTTCTATAAAAAGCCACTCTTTTTAATTTCTTGGAGATTTAGACTATTAAATTTCTTAATATTCTTGCTCCTCTTATGATTATTCATTTTTTTTTTCTTTTTTAATAAAAGTTTAACTCATATTTTTTTGATAATTTTCAATATTTTTTTAAGCAAACTATAAATGAATTTATTCTTTCTCATTATTAAATACTGAATTATTTTATTATATTTGAGAATAATTATTTTATTATATTTGAGAATAATTATTTTATTATATTTGAGAATAATTATTTAAAGAAAGAGTCAGTTTCTCTAGTTTTTAAGTTTTTTTTTTTTTCTGATAGCTAGGATCTTTATATTTTCCTGAGCCTAAAAGTTTTATTTTTAAAGGTTCGAAATCAAATTAAGATATTTTAAGCTTTTGATATAATTTAATTTTTATATTTAATTTTTTTTTTATCATACTTCAACTTCTGATATTGCAGTTGTATTACTTGAAGGTTTGTATATCAAATTTATCTCGATTTTTCCTTATGCTGGAATTATACCTTTCATTGGTTGAATAAACATCTCAGTATTCTCTTTTAAAAATTCGAATTCAAATTCGAAATTTATTGGTATTTTGCATTCTAAAAAATTAATCTATTAATATAGATAAAATAAAAAATATTTAAATTTATTAAAATAATTATATTTGTATAAATAAAAAAAAAGATTTTTTTTTCTTCTTTACAATTGTACGACTTTCACCTATTTCTATCACTCCAAAATCTATTAAACGAGGAAATAAATTTCTTATATTTTCTCTGTCAATTACTGGATAAGCATGAATTGGCACTAAAATATTTTCTGTCTATGAATTAATTCGAAGAGTTGTAAAATAGTATCTTTTGAAATTAAGTTTTTTATAATATTTTTTTTTACTTGTGTTCCTCCGGTTTTAATATTATGGTTATTTCTTCACTCATTCCTGGTGCAACTAATCCTTTTTTATTCATTTTAAAGTCGAAACTGTCAGAATCTAAAGGTAATACATGTATCCTTTGAGATACTTCAGCTTTATTTATAACTTTTAATTTTAATGAATTAATTTTATTTATATCGAATCCTATAAATTTTAATATTGGTGGATCTACTTATATAAATTAATTTCCTTTAAATTTAATGAAATCAACTTTGTTTTTAATTAAATATTTTTTATTTAAATAAAAAAAAACTATACATTTAGATTCAAATGTATCTTTATTTTAAAACATATTTTTTTTTAAGAGAATATTAGGTATTTATAATGGTTGTATTTCTTTCATTTTAATTTTATTTATAATAAGTAATTTTTATTTTATTTTATTTTATTTATAAAATATATCAACTATATTTTATTTATAGAGTTATAATTTTTTTAATTATTTACTTCTTTTGATTTAATTTGATTGATAATATTTCTTATTAATTTAATAACTTAAAAAATATTTAACAAAATGAAAATTATTTTTTATTACAAATCTTAAAAAAAAAAAAAATGGTATAAATATTTGAATTGAAAAAAAGAATTGAAAAACAGAAATATAAAGAAAAATAAATGTCTTATAAAATATTTAGTTTAAATAAATAAAATCAAATAACATTAAATTAACACAAAAAAAAACATATTAAATATAATTATATATTTAAATACTAATTCATACGTGCTTTATTTATTTGATTTTAAATTTTATATCTATTTTTTGTTAAATTTAATATCATAAAATATATCATTATACTAAAGCTGAAGCAGTTTAAGGATTACTTTTTTTTTTTTAATTATTGAATTAATAAAAAATATATATTTTTATATTACTATTTGAAAGTTGGAGCTAATTTTTAATTAAGTTTATAATATCTTACTAATCTGTGTATTCTCGATTCAATAAGAATAATTCTGAATTTAGAGTCTTTGTCTTTTCTATTTTTTTCTAAGTGTTTTCTGATAGCAACTGCTTTTTTGATTAAACAATGAAGATCTTCAGGAATTTAAGGTGCGCATCCTTTATTTTTTTTTATAACAAAATAATAAATATATTTATTTTACCATTTTTCTTTAAAACTCTTAAAATTTTTTATCCAGTTAAAAATCTAACTTATGGAATACCATGTTAATCTCTAAGGACAACACCAATTTAAGAAGGAGTCAAACCTTTAATTTATTTAATAATTATTTATTTAAATAAGTTTATTTTACCTTTTTTAGCTAACTTAACAGCTAATTCAACAACAGAAGAAGGACTCATATGAAGCCATTTAGGTGCTTTTCTTTTGTAAGGTAATGCAGATCCTGAAATACCTTTTCCTTTTCCTTTCATTTACATACGACCCATTTTTTATGATTTTTATTATTTTCTTTTTAATATTATTATTTTAATTTTCTTTTTTTCTTTTTTGGTATATATTTTTATTTCTTTGCTTTTTTGCTTTTTTATATCTTTTTTAATTTACACTCTTTATTTATTTATAATAATAGTTTTCTATTATTTTTAAACAAAAATATTTAATTAAATTATTTATGTATAAATAATTAAAAATAATTAATATATTATAATAAAAAATATTAAATTAATAAAAAATTTTAATAATAATTCGAACTTTTGAATATATTATAAATAAAAATATTTCCACTTATAATAATAAAAAATTAACTATTTCTTTCTTCATAAAAAATTTATATAAATATAATTTATATATATAAAAAATTTACAAATACTATTAATATTTTCACAAATAAAATAATAATATATTTATATAAAAATAACAAAAAAATGAATGAATAATTAAGAAATGCCTTACACATAATAATAACCTCATTAATAGTTATATTTATTAGTAATTTAAAAGAAGAAGTATTTCCTAATTTCTTTAAGCTTCCAAATTAAACAATAAATAATCTTTAAAATGTCAAATAGCTTTTAGATTATTATAAATAATAAATATAACTATAAAATAATTTAGAAAAAAATGAAAACTTAGCGTTTGGATTTGTATCTGATTTAGATATTTATGTAAGTGGAATTGAGTTTATGAATTTATTAGGTTTTGAGTAAATGTAAGAACCGAAATTTCATGATAATATTTAAAATTTACAAGAGTTAGCGGAAACTTTTTCTTTTGTGTTTTCTAAAGGATTAGGAACTGAGATTTTTATAAATGACAAGAGATTTTTTAATGAATTAGTTAAAAAAGCACGATAGATAGAAGTGTAAAATGGTTTAGGAGGAAATGCCTCTACTATGGCTTTGAGAGCATATAAAGAAGGATGTATAATTGTAGTTTTAGCCCATGCAATAAATAAATAATTTTATGAAAGTCATTTTGGAGGAAAAACTTTTTTGGTGGAGAAACTAAGTTAAATTAATGATATTCATTTAGTTTTAGATTTCAATAAAATAAAAAAATGGGGAAATAAAACAGCTTTACATTCAAATAGAATGTTTTTAAATCATGATATTGATAACTCTAAATTTAGTTATATGAATAAATTATATGATTTCTTTTTAGATAATTAATAAATAAGGAAGTAAATATAAATTTTGGCTATAGGAGGGTTTCAATTACTTAATTTTAGAGATTTAAATGATAATTTGGAAATAATGAAAACATTATATAAGCATATTAATGAATATTAAAAATAAGGGATAAAGGTTCATTTAGAAATGGGAGAATCTGGAGATGCAGATTTATTCAATTACTTTTCTAAATATCCTTTAAAATAAGCAGATTCTTTAGGTTTTAATGAAGATGTAAAATTAAATTATATATACATATTTAATTTATATAAAGGAACTTACACAATTAATAAAATATTTTGATATTGAAGAAGATAATATAATGAGTGATTAAGATATTTAATAATAAGATATAAATTAAACTATTTTAAGAGTTATAAAATTATATAAAAATTTTAAAGAAAGGGAATTTAATTTAAATAGAATACATTTTCATTCAAAATATTAGCAAATTATTTGTGGAGATATAAATATTTGGAAGTTAAGCAAATTAGCAACAATTAAATCTTTAATTGTAGGTTTACAAGAAAGCCTAATTTAGAATAGATATTTTTTTGATTTTGATTTGACATAATTATAATTTAGAATACCTGAAATCTTGAAATTACCTATTTTTGATTCAGGTATACAATTCACACATGTAAAATTTAAGTTAAATGAACCTATCTAATGCTGGGAACCTATGAAAAATTTATAATGTTGTGTTGCACCTAATCTTTATTTATCTAATCCTTTAAAAACTTGTGGATTAGGAGATAACACAGCTTCTACAGGAATAATATATCATAAACTTCTTTGAATGTATTTTTATTTGATTGTATAATTATTGTTTAGAAAGATTAAAACAGAAATTTATTTTAATAAACTGAAATTATTATTTTTTTGATAACATATATATTCTTATATATATATATTTTTTTTTCAATTCATATAAGTATTAATATAAACTATAAATATTTTAATTTTTGTAATATTTTTTTATATTATATTTATTCTCTTTAAAATATTTAATAAGACTCTACAACAAAGTATTAAAAAAATTAAAATTATATTTTTAAATAAATTATTTTTTAAATGTATATTTTTATATTCATATTTATTATTATACGAAATTTATATAATTACTTAAATAAGTTATGCATAATTTTAAATGCCTTAAAAGCTATTTCTATTATACTGAAAAATAAAGTAAATACTTCAAATGTTATGTTAAAAATTCTTATCTAGAAGCAGATTTGTTTTAAGTTTGTACTGATGATTATATTATACCATTAATAATCTTTTTAAATTTGAATTGATAGATTCATACTCTTTTTATATTTGAGATTTAAAACTTTATTATTTCAAAAAGACATTGCTTTAGAATACAATTGAAAATTCTGAATATACTCTATTATATTTAAATATTTTGAGAAATTATCTGAAAATTAATACAAAACTTAATTCATCTTATAGATGTTTATTAATTTATTTACTATCTAAACTAAGTATGATTAAAATAAAGAAAGTGTATTGCAAATTATTAATTTAGTTGTTAACTTATCGAATAAATAATTTTATTATTTATGATCCAACCTCATTAGATATTTGGATAATTCTGTACTAAGTAATAATATAATTGGAATTGAGTTATTTGAAATCAAACCTAATACTAAACAAATTTTTTAAATTCAAATTAAAATAGAATCTAAAACTTAAATTAAAAGATTGAAATTAGATTTTATTATTTTCAAATAAAAGATTTAAGTTTTCATTAAAAAAAAATTATAAAAATAAAATTAAAAAAATTATATAGGAATTATCAAACCAATAAGAAAATATATAATATTCATAATTTTTATCTTAATATGATTTAAATAAATTATATTTATGTTTTTTAAAAATTATATATTATCTGAAATTAAATATTTTAATTTAAAAATACTATTTTTTATTTTTTGTAATTTGGATATAATCTTGTAAATAATATTTAAAATTTTATATATATATTTATATATTTCAAATTAAAACTTCACTATTATTTAAAGGAAAGCAATCAATATGTATATAAGAAATGTCTTTTTCCGATTTTTTTTCATCTATATTTTTATTACTAAGCTCAGAATTATATTTTTCCCATGTAACACCATCAAACCATTAATTTTTCTTGAATTCTTCAATACCTTCTTTTGCCCCTAATCTTTAAGAAGGATGCGGATTTAGTAAAGACTTTATTAAATTTTAAGCGTTTTAAGAAATATCAATAAATTTAGGAAAATATATTTAATTCTAAAAAATTAATTTAATTATAATATCTTCTTCATTTTCATAAAAAAATGGGGTTATTCCTACTAACATTTCATATAATAAAATACCCAAAGCCCAATAATCACTTGAATAGCTTTTTTAAAATCCTTTTAAAACTTCTGGCGATTAATATTCAAGAGTTTAAAAAGCTGAGTTTTATGTTTCACTTCTATATTCAGTTAAATATACATTTTATTAGTTATCAAATAATATATTTTCTGGTTTTAATTCTCCATAAGGAATATTTATTATTGTATGGTAGAAATTCAAAGCATTAAGTATTTAAACGATAATTATTTTAGCTTTGTCTTCTTAAATATTATGTTAAATTTGAATTTATTTGAATAAATCACCCCCTACCATTAATTTTTACACAAAGTAAATTTCATGAAAACCGTTTTTCTTCTATATAAAACAATATTTTAAAGGGACAATATATTCAGCAGATGTAAGTTAATATATTCTTTTAATGATTGCTTCTATTTCATCTGAATTGACTACATTAATTTTTTTTAAAGCATATAATTTTTAAAATATATCCTTAGATTTTGATTATTTTTTGCATTTTACTAAATATACCTTACTTTCTTTATTTTGAATTTGTTAAGAAATAGCATGAGTTGCTTCAAAATCAGAAATCCATATTTTTAAGGTGGTAAAATCTTTGATAAAGACAACCCTTTATTCATCGAAGTTTATAAATTTATTCGCCATAAATAAATTTAATTTCAGAAAGTTTGTTTGAAATCCTCCTTATTAAGGTATTTTACTAATTTTCTTGCTCATATCAAGCTCTTATGTACAATAATTATCTAATTTTGATTCTTTATGTACAAATATAAATAAATCTTTATTCATTAATTTATTATAACATGCGAATGTATAATAAATAAATATTTCTCTATACTCATCGCTTTCTAATCTATAATCATATTCAGAACCTACATGTAAAACAAATTCTTATGAATGTATAGATATTGATATTCCTACTAATTTTTAGAGATCTATAGTTCTTTTAATGCTTCTGCCTACATTAAATATACGCTTCGTTGTTATAACGAAATTTCTGGCTTAATATTTTTCTTTTCGATTTATTTTTGTTAACTAACATGATAAAAGTAGTTTTTCCCCATTTTCAAGTTTAAATTGCTTTTCATTTAATGGAGAATATTTCAAAAAATCATTCTATTTTAAAGATATTAAATCATATTTTTATTACATTTTATTTTTCTTGTTATTTATTTTTAAATATTATTTATTATTTTATTATTGCATATTTATATTTTATTGGAAATTTTTTATAAATTAAACTTTATAATATTTTTTTTTTATAAATATAAAATTTATTTTTGTCAATTCAGAATTCATAAATCATTTACTATAGGCATGATTTTTTTTAAAGTTTTTAAAATCAACACTTCCTTAAGTATAGAACTTAGAAAATTCGATTTCAGTAAAAACTCCTAAATCAGAAATATTGCCGTGCTATTGATCTTAAAATAATTGATATTGGTTAATAAGTTTAACCAAATTAACATAATTAGCTTAATATAAAAATTCATTAAACATAAATTTATTAGTAGGATTCAAAATATTTTCAAGAACACTTTAATTCAAAGAAGGATTTTTATTAACTATACTGGCAAGATTTTAAATTAAACTACTCCAAGTAAATGGATGATTACCGGTAAGTAAATATTTATTTTTATTTGTTTTTTTCCTTATAAAACATTTTAACAAGCTTATGCAACAAGCGATGTATGTATAGGATGAACGATATTTTAACTTGGCTAGAAATATAAATTTTATCCGTGAAATATACGAGAAAATAATTCATTAACGACTCCTGAATCAAGTCCAAAAGTTAAATCAGTTTTTAATTCAATTAAATTAGGAGCTATTCTTTAGGCTTCATTAATTGCTTTTTCAGCTACCTCTAAAGGATGATTTTCGCCATAATGCAAATATTCAATAAGAGAAACTGCTGTAAAATTCTTAATTTTTGATTAATTACATACTTAAGCTACGTTCTTTAGCAAAGATAATTTACAAGGAACATTCAAATAATAATCATGAGTAACATAAACTACGTGAGAGGCTTTAGATACTTAATATTCTAATTCGTTTTTGTCCAAAAGCTTAACTTCCTTTAATTTAGTTTGTATGTTTGAAGATAAAGTATCTTTAAATTATAAATAGCTTTCTAAAGAGTGATAATTAGGAAATAAATCAGCACAAACTATATTCTCATAGACACCTGTGCTGTGAAAATGACGAATCAAGCCTTATGAAACTTTATTAGCACCATTAATTACGAGAAGACTCATTTATATATATTAATTATTATTATTATTATTATTATTATTATTATTATTATTATTATTATTAATATCAATGTTTTTGTATGTATATCTTTTTTTAATTTATATTAATAATATCTATATATTTTTATTTATATATTATAATTTTTTTTCTTAAGTTTTCAATTTTTTTTTATTTATTATTTTTTATGATAGTAAAATTAATTTTAATACATTATTTAATTTATTTATAAATTATTTATTTAATATTATATCCTTTTTTTGTTACATATATTATTACTTTTTTTTATTTTTTATTAATTTATTTGAATTCATATTTTTTACAAATTTTTATGAGTTTTTCTAATTTATGAAGTTAACAAATAAATATATTATATTAATTTTAGTTTTTTTTGTAATTTTTATTATTAATATTAAAATTTAAAAATATGCATATTAATATATAAAAATAAAGTTAACTTATTCACAATTAAATATAGTATATATATTAATATTTTTATATAAGTTTACTTTTATATTTTGTTAATAAATTATTAACTATTTATTAAAAATAAATATATAATTTTAGATATTTAAATATGTATAAAATATTGGTATAAATTAAAAAGAATTAATAAAAATTATAAAATAAATATGATGCTATCCAATAATTATTTATAAGATATTTTAAAATGCAATTACTATAATATTCTATTTAAATATGTCAATTTTTTAATAAAAAAGTTATGTCTAGGATAAAAAATTCTATTAAGTATATGATAATAAAAAACAATAAAATAAATTAACTAATATTTTTTTATTTTTAAATATAAAAATAATACTTTTCATTTAAATATATCAAGTATAAGTAAGTTCTTTTGTCTTTATTAAAAATAAATACTCTCTGTATTAATTAAAATTAATTTTATATTTTTAGATTACTTTTTTTTTAAAAGTATATTTATTTAAATTTTTTTGAACATATAAAATTTTTGTTTATATAATTATAGGAAATTTAAAAAATTATTGATTTCCTTTTAAAAAATTTTCTTTGACTGAAAAAAATAATAATATAATAATGGATAAAACATTTGAAAATTAATTAGGTAATATATAAAAAGTTTTTGATATATATTTTTTTTTTTCAATATATTTAATTTACATTTAAAAAAAGACATTTTTAATTAAACTCAAATTTCATTTTTGGATTAATCGTTTAAAATTTCATTTTAAACTTTAGAAAAAAATATAGAAGATTTATTTTGCTAAATTAAGCATAAAGAAATACATTTATCTAATATCGATAATATAATTGATAAAATACAAAAAATACAACTTTTTTTTTAAGATCTTTAAAATAAATTAATTCGTTAAAAAAGTGAAAAAAACATTTTCAATCTTTAAATATAAAAGAAAGAAAATTAAGATTTATAGTAGCAAGTTTAAATATAATAAATAATGGATGAATTTAATAATGTTAAGAAAATTAATAAGAAAATCTAAAATGAATAATCGAGAAATAAAACATATTTTTAATATTAAGGCACAAATGAATAAAAACATAATCGTTTCTTATCTTTAGATTTTAATAATTTAATAACTTAATAAAATTAAAATCAATTTTAATTTGAAGAAATCGCTTTTTCATAAAACGATAATATAATTGAAAAATAAATTATTGTAGATTTTTCAAATATTAACTAAGTGGTAAAAAAAGACTCTTTTAATTATATAAATGCTTAATAGGATGGAAAATAATTAATTATAAATGAACCTTTATATGCTGCGAATTCTGAAGTATAAAAAATAATAGATTAAGTGAAAGAAAATTAAAATTAAAAAAAAGCTGGTTAGTATTTCCATTAAATTCAAAGTTTATAAAATTCTAAGGAAAAGCCTATTCCAAATTTAGATTTTAAAGGGGATAATAATACATTTTTGCAAAAGGAATTTAATGCATATTCTAATTCTCATATAAAAACAAGCTCAGTTGATTTTGGAAATTTATTAAAAAATAATAATTAAGGAGTTTAAGAAAAATAACTTCCTCTAAGTTATAATTCCTCTAAACTCATTTCGAATCAATAAGAAATTAAAAATGAGAATACTGTATAAGACATTTCTATTATTAAACTTAGCAAGCGTGTTACAAATAGCCCTGATTTAAATGATAGAAATTTTGGAATATAAAAAATATTGTAAAATTATAATTAACATAATATAAAAACCAATATTAAACAGTTTGATAATTTAGAATTTTAAAAAAATTAAAACTCATAAACGAAAATTTAAAAGTTTAAGAGTAAAAATTAATATGAAAATGATAGTATTAAATATATAAATTTAAAAATAAATAATAGCTTAAAGAATATAAATAATATTTCTTTAAATAAATAAAATTAATTAATTATATAAGATAGTATAGATATTTATAGAAATTAAAATAAGGAATAATTTGATATAAATATATTTTAATATAATTAACAACCTAGAAATTATAATAATCGCTTTTTTTTTTTAGATTAATTTGCTATAGGAAAAAAGCTTGGAAGTGGGAAATTTTCAGATATATATTTAGCTATGTAATAAAAAATAAAAAATATTAATTTTTATGTAAATAAAGGGATAATAAAACAGGTTTAAAAGTAGCATTGAAATAAATAAAGAAATCTAAAATAATATAGTATAAAATGGTATAAGATATATGCAACGAAATAAAAGCTTTAACAGTTTTAGATCATCCAGGAATAATTAAATTGTATGGATTTTTTTATGAAAAAGATGCTTTTTATATAGTATAAGAACTTGCTTGTGGAAATGAACTTTTTCAAGACATGAAATAATAGTATGATAAAAAGTATAATGAATAATAAACTGCTAATTATATACATTAATTAATCTAAATTTTATAATACATTCATTCAAGAAATATAGTTCATAGAGATATTAAACCTGAAAATATTATGATATCTAATGTAATATTTTACAAAAGTAATTTAAAATTATTATCTAAAATAGGGTATTATAAAATTATGTGATTTTGGATGTTCGGGAACAGTTAAAAATAATTAATTAAGGTAAACTTTTTGTGGAACTGCAGATTATATAAGCCCTGAGATGGTTCAAAGAAAATAATATGACTTTTCAGTTGATATTTGGAGTTTAGGTATCTTAACATATGAATTAATTTTTGGTAAAGCACCATTTACCGCTTTTAATAATGATGCAACTTTTAATAAAGTCCTAAAAGTATTATTAATATTTTTTTAAATTTAATTTAAAAATTAAGGGAAATGTTAAATTTCCAGGACCTATTTCGTTCGAAGGAGCAGATTTTATTAACCAAATTTTAATTAAAGATCCTAACAAAAGAATAAGTTTAGATAAAGCTTATGGACATCCTTTTATATAAAATAATTTAAGAAAAAACCAAAATTAGTTAAATTAAATTAATGAATTATCAAGTTTAGATTTGAGCATATTAAATAGTAAATGAAAAGAGTTTATAATAATTAAATAAATAATTTTATTATATTAATTTTAACAACATATTTTTTGTTTCATTTCATATAAATTTTCATTATAAAACTTCTTTTATAATGCCTTCATAAAATATTCAATATTTTTTATATATTTTTTATGATATTTCTCATTGTTTAAAAAGTAATTTAAAATATTTTTGATTTTTGTAGCTATTTAATTATATAGTATTTTTTTTCAATTTATAAGAATTTGAACTTATATATTTTCAGAATTGATTATACGGATACGGGTATCGTTGGTTAACTTCTTATAAAATTTTCAGATGTTTTATGCTTTATACATTATTAGTTTAAATATTATTTAAATAGAAAACAAGATTTTCTTCAATTAATAAATTTCTCTCTATTAAATTTATCAAATATTATATGAAGTCTATCAATTTTATATTATTTGTTATAAATTAAAATCCTAATATTTTTTTATTTGTTTTTTCTAATATTGTACTGATATTTTTTAATATTTAAAGTTTTTTAATTATGAATTTTTATTTGTACTCTATTATTAATGCTAGCTAGTTTAACGAATAAGTAATTTTATTTAATAATCGGTTTAATATTTAAAATATGATTTTTAAGCATTTAATAAATTGTTTTAACCATAAAACTTTATTATAATTTAAATTTATTTTATAAAATTAATTTTAACTGATAATTTTTTTTATTTTACAATATTTTTTTCTATAGCACTCTAATCATAACAAAAAAAGCAAGAAAAATATATCACATTTAAATAAAATCAAAAATTAATATTTTTTATAAAATAATATTTCCTTAAATTTATTTCATATTTATTCTAAACATATTATTTCTAATTAACTATTATTATTAATTATTTTACTTTTATTTAGAAATTCAGATTTTAATATTTGACTATTTATAGCAATTTAAAAAAAATTAATATTGCTCCATTTAAATAATTATATTTTAAAAGCTTAAATATTTAAGTTATTTTAAATAGTGTCTGAACTTTTATATTTTCGTTAAAACAAACGCTTTAATAATATATCCTTCTTTAATAAATAAAAAAAATATCGTTTTATATAAATGTAATTTATTCGCCTTATCATTTAATTAAATTAATATTATTATTAATTTAAATTAATGTTTAAGTCAAAAATTTATTAATTATAAAAAATAAGTATATTTTATTTTATAGTAGTTTTTAATATAAATTGGTTCACACTTTTTTTTTTTTTTTTTCTATAGTTATTTTTTAAAGAACTCAATCGAAAAAATAAAAATATGTGGAAAAAATAGATTATGGTTTTTTATTGATGGTGTTATTTTAAAAATTTTACAGTAAAAATAAAAAAAATAAAATATAGCAAACTACTCTAATTCTCATTTATTAAGGCCTTTTTTTGATTAAGGCTTTTTTGCTATATTTTTTTTTGATTTTGACCTTTTTAATACAAAAACTAATATTATACACAATTTATAATCTATTTAAATTTTATATCAAAATTAAATTATATTATTTTTATTATTTTTCAAAAAATAAAAAATAAAAATATATTGTATTTTTAAAAATTATTTAAAATATAAAAAAATGCATTCTCCTTTATAATCTCAAAAATAAAAAAACCAATATATTATTGATGAAAATTTTAATAAAATAGGGTTTAAAGAAAGCTAAAGTAAATAAATGGATAAATAAGGATATACAACAGGAACATTATCAATAGCAAACGGTACTTAAGCATTATGTTTAAATCCTTCGACATTAAAAGGAAGAATAAAAAATATAGAAGAAAAAGCAAATGTATTATCTGATGAATTAAGCAAACACAAAAAAGAATTTTAAGTGTTGAAAAATGAAAAAGAGACAGTCGAATAAGTATTAAGAGCAAAAAACTAAGGTATATAAAATATTCTTTAAAATGAAATAATAAGATTAGAAGAAGAAATGAAAAGACATTATGCACATTAAAGAGCAGAAGGTAATAGAATATAATTATCATTAGACGCTTTAAAGTCTGAAAAAACAGCTTTGTAACAAGCTTTAAATAATATTGAATAAAGAATTAATTAATTAGAATATGGTGTTGGAGATAATGAAGTCTAAAATTGATTATATAAAAAATTTAGCTTTAACTATTTTATATTTTTTTTAATGTTAATAATATAAAAATATTATTTGTTAATTATTTTTATTTTAGAAAAATAATTATTAATTAGTATAAGTTACAATTACTACTAATGTATATATCGTTTTTAAAATATTTTTTTTTATTAAGATTAAATATAAAAAATAAATAAAAAGATATAAACAAATGAAAATTACAAGAGGAAAAAAATAAATAAATTAAAAGTCTCATAATTTATAAAAATATTAATTCGAAATAAAATAAATTATAATTATATTAATAAAAATAAAAAAATGTCTTATTAATCTGACGATTAATATATATACATAGTAAAAAATTTAGATTTTTCAAATACTGCTAAAGAACGTTTATGTAGTTTGATAGAATAAAGAGATTCTAAAATAATATCAGCTTTATAAACATTTATGCGTGAAAGACCGGGTTTTAAAGACTTCTAATAATATTAGGACACAGCTGTATAAAACTTAAAAAGAGAATTAGAATTAGTTCTTTTTGGAAAACCAACTATTGATTTTTTCAAGTCACCATCTACTTATACCACTACATAAACCTATATGTAATCAACAACTGGTGGCGTCCCTGCATTCTAAACTGGAAGTGGAGGCTACTAATTCACTTCTTCTTCGAATGAACCAGTTGGATTAAATACTTATACACCGTTTGCAACACTTTAAACTGCTAAACCTGTTTAATAAACAACTTCTTATTATTAATAATAAAGTTCTTCATAACCTACAGTTAATTATACTTATAATTAATCTTCAGGAGGTTATGGAACTGGATTGAATACTGGTTAGAATAATAACTAAATACAATCAACAGGAAGTGGATAATATGCTTAAGTTTTAGGAGTATAATAATAAAATTAATAAGGAGGAATTGGAAATTATTAAGTTATTTAAGGAGGAAACTTCGAATAATAAAAAATAGTTTTAGCAAGTAATGAAGGATAAGAAATTATAAAAAGAGGAAAAGCCAAAGGTTAAATTGTCGTAAATTCTAAAATTGCTGATGATTTAATTGATGAAGTCGAGCATGATAAGAGAATTTAAGAATTAAGATAAAAGAATTAATAAGACAGATCTGACATAGGAGATAAATTACTTGAAAAAGAATATCATAGATTAGAAACTTTTAAATAATTATATGAAAAAGGAAAACCTTTGAGTAAAAAATTATATGATCTTTTCTATGAAATGGTTTATCAAATTAGTTATAAAGATTTTCTTTCTATTAGATATAAACTTAATATTGATGATATTAATTTTACTGATCTTATTAAAAGAACTAAGGAAATGTTAAACTAAAATGTTAATGGAAGTGTATAAAACAGAGTTGGAATTAAACCTCATGAATTCATTAGTTTACTAAAAGCTGAAAATTTGTATATTGAATAATAATTCTACTTATTCTAAATGTTCTTTTATTTAGATTTTAATGATAACGCTATTGTTGATTTTAAGCAAATTCTTATTGGATTTGTTATGCTTGCTAATGCTTCTGAAAAAGAAAAACTTGAAGCTGCTTTCTATATTTTTGATGAAGATTAAAATAATTCTTTCGATATTAGAGAACTCAGCAATTATTTGAGAATGGTTATTAGAATTGGAGATGGTAGAAAGTATAAAAAAGAGGTAAAAATAACAAAATTTATTGCATTTTTTTATTTTTTATGTAGGATGCATTTGAACATGAATTTTATGTCGAAAAAATTGCAGCTGCTTTAGCTTAAAAAATTTTCGAGGAAATTGATATTGATAAGGATTAGAAAATTACATATGAAGAATTTGTTATATGGCACAACTTATATGCTGATGATGATGCTGAAGATCGTTAAAAATAAAAATAAAGAATTGAAGAAGTACTTTAAAAGGCAAAATAAACAAGAGCTAAAAAATAAAAAATATTTTATGCATTTAAGTAATTTTTATAAAAACTACTTAATAATATTTATTTTTTTGTTAAGTGTAAAAGGCGAAGAATATAACAAATTAACATCAGAAAGATACGAATAAATATAGAAATCTAAAATAACAGAGACAAATATTTAACATTATAGAAATCAACTTAAATTTGATTAAATTAATTTCTTATAAGCAGTTGAATACTTAATCGAAATAAAAGTAAATGATAAGCTAAACTTTTAAAAATTATAAGAGCTTTTCTAATAACTTTTTAATTAATTTAGAATATAAATTAACTTCAAATAAGATATTCCTAAAAAATAATTAAAAGAACTCTACAGTATTATTGATATTGATGGAAATGGGATTATTGATTGGAATGAATTAATGGGAGCTTTCAGTTTATTGTGTGGAGGTAGTGAAAATGAAAAAATAAAAGGCATATTTAAGGCATTTGACAGAAGCTAAGACGGAGAATTGTAATTTGATGAACTTTATCAATTATTCTTGTCTTCTTTTAAACTTGTATTTGCTAGAAACTATTCAGAAGAGTTTGCTAATTTAGATCCCAACAAATTAGCATTTTCAATGGCTTTATCTGCTTTTACAGAAAATAGTTTAGACCCATACAAAAATAATTTAGATTACAATACTTTTTGTAAATGGTACAAAAAGCTTGATGCATTTTGATAAATTAAAATTATTAGTTGTTTTAAATATTTTATATTAATAAATTAAATAAAGCAGACTTAATCTTTTTTTTATTTTAATTATTAGTTATTATACAAATTTTATATTAATAAAGAAAATAATAATAAATTTAATCTTTTCTAATTTTAAATAGTCATATAATTTTTTATATTGATTTTTTATTATTAATATAGTAATGCATTTAAATAAATATTATATTATATTATTTTATTTAATTTATTTTATTATTTTATTTTATTTTATTTTATTTTATTTTATTTATTAATTGTTTGAATGCTATAATGCAATAGTTTAAATTCATATTTCTAACAATAAATATATTTTAATTATGCATTATTAATTTTTCAGATTAAAGCCATATATTTGAATACAGTGTATTTAAAATAATTAAAACTTAACATAATTTATTCTTATACATACATTTTTTTTTAATTATGATTTTTTTTATTAATTGAGACACATTCTCATAGCTTTTTCTATAAACTAAAATATTTAAATCATTAAATATCAAAAAAAAATTATTTATAATTTAAAAATATTTTTAATTATAATTATTTTTTTTTTCAAATATTAATAAAAATTATATATAAAAATAATTAATTTAATGGATTTAAAATTCTATTTATGTTTTTATCAAAAATATGATAAATATTATTAAATAAACTAATTATTTTTACAACCTAAAGTTATAGTTAGTGCGTTTAATTTTTCTTTTTTTTAAAGTTTTCAACCAATTAAAGAAAGTAAATCATATTATAATTTTTAATTATTTTATATATTTTGAAAAATATTTATAGAAATTCTTATTCTAATATATATGCATTTTTTTAAAAAACTATAAACTAAATTCATAAAATAATTTAATTGCATTATTTTAAAATTCTATATTCATAGAAATTTATAAATTTAATTAAATTTAATTTTTATTATTTAACCTAATTTTTGTTTAGCTTCTAATTTATAATCTAAATAAGTTATTTTTCAAAATTAAATAATTCATACAAATTTTTAATTAAAAATTCTGAATTAATTCTTGTAGACTATTAATTTACTAATGATGGAAAACCAAATAAATAATAATAATTTAAAATATTTAATTAATAAATTGTATGAATTAAGTTAATAATTATATTAATAAATAAAAAAAAAATTATATAATTATATTTAATTATTATTAATATAAAAAAGAAATATGTGAAAATGTATCTAACTCATAATTCTTTTTTTTTATAATATTATTATAAGATACAAAATAATAAAAAGGGCATAAACATATTTTTTTAATGAATAAATTTAAAAAAAAAAATATTTATAAAAATTTAATTAAAAATTTATTATGTTGTTAAAGCATAATAAATAAAATTGAAAAAATAATTATAAATAAAATAAATAAATATTTGTTTTATTTTAATATTTTATTATATATAAATATTTAATAAAATAAATAAATATTTAATATATTTATTTATATATAAACTTTTATATATTTATATATATATATAAATAAATTTATATCTATCTAATTAATATTTTTATCATCTTTAGACTTTTACTTTTTTATCTATTTTATCTTTTTAAGAAATTGAAGATCTTAATTTTTTTTTAATTTACTAAATTCTTAAATATTATTTTTTAATTCCATTTTTATTATGTATTTTTGGTGACAAAGAATTAAGATTTTTTTATAAATCTAAAGAAAAAATTCTTTTAAAGTTATTTTTTGCTGAATTCATACTTTCTATTTTACCTAAAATATCATCAAAAACATTATTATTACTTTTTTATTTAATTTTTTATTAGTTTTCTTAAAAACCTACCTGTTATAGATATATATTAAATTAATTTATTAAGATATTTTTTTTATTATTTTTTTTTTTATTATCAAATTTTGTTTCTTCTTCAGTTTTAAGTTATTAACATTTTATAAATTATTCAAGTTTGTCTTTTTATAGAGATTTATTTTGAATTTATTCTAAAAATGTTTTTCTTTATTATTCTCGTTACACAAATTTATTTTTAGTCATTTTATAAATATTATCTTATTCTTTTTTATAATAAAAATATATATTATATATTTTTATCAAAAATATAGAAATAACTTTTTAAATAAATATTGATTTAGTACTTGATTTTAATTAAAGACTAAACTTTTTTTAATGATTTTTTTTTAATTTATTTAAGGCCAAATATCCTTTTACTTAAGAAATATCGAAAGATTTCAATTCTTAAATAAAATCAGAATTATTATTTTGTGAAAAAAAATTAGTGAAGTGTTTTTATTATACTTTTTTGGTTATTGGAGAATATTTTTAAATATAAGTTCTTTAATTTTAACTAGTAAGTATGCTATTTTTATTTTTAATAGGTGAGGCTTATTTATTAAATTTTTTATTTTGTATTTAATGACTTTAGTATTCTTATTAATTTTTATAATTTTAAATTGTATTATATGATCTTACAAACTCATTAAAATTATTTTGCTACCTTAATTTTCGGATAAAAGGTGCGTATTTAGAATCGCTTTTGAAATGTTATTGCTAATTTTTTTATTCTAAATTTGGAATATCCATTTACTCAAATATTTCTATTATTTAATTTTTTTCTTATTCATCCCTAAATGGTGAAGAATATTAAATATTCGAAGGTCTAGTAAAATTATCGCTTTAGAATATATTATATTGATGATCTTATAACATTTCTTAAATAAATTAGAGAAATTATTATTTATCCATTTTTTCTTTATAATTACTAAATTTTTAAAATATTTCTTCTTGCTATTCTTAATCCTCTATATCATAATTTATTAATTCTTTTTTAAAATCATCTATATCTATATAACCTTTTTTAGATTGATCAATTTTATCAAAAGCTTGCTCAGGTGTATTATTTGATTACAAAATTTCACTAATTAGTTGAGACAATAATACATTTTCTTCAACTTAATTATAAAATGAATCTTTTTGACTAGATTGTTATTAGTTATTCTAAAACATTTTCTATTTAAAAGATTATTATTAATTAATTATAAAAAAAAAAAATTATTAAAATAATCACATAAATATGATAATTTTTTATCCTATAATATTAATTTATAAAGTAATATTGGTTTTATGACTTTAATAAATGTTTTATTATTAATTAAAAAATATTATTTTTCGAAAAAATATTTATATATTTTTTGTTTTAATATAATTAATATCCATAAAATAAAATTAGAGAACTATATTTAATTTAAGATTCTAAACTAAAGGTATTTAATTAAAAAACAAAAATAAAAATAAGAAGATAATAGTAGAACAAAAAGAATATATATGAATTGTTTAAAAAATTATTAATTAAATTAATTAAAAAGGCAAAAAACCAAATTTCAATTTATTTTAATGTAGTTAAAATTTAAAAAATATAAATTTATTTTATATAGATAATTAATATCAAATATAAATTTAAAATAAAAAATTAATCTGATAAAAATTTTTAAAATTATATATAAATTTTATTAAAAGCTTTTTAGTTTAAATATTTAATAAAAAATTTAAAAATTTAGTAAGTTAATACGATTTTAAATAATTAACCTATTATAATATTTATATTAACTTTTATTTACATGTTTACTTTATAAAACCATAAATATATATATATATAATATTTATTTAATATCTTATATATAAAATAAAATCAAAAAAATATATATAATATCATATATCATAAATTATATATAAAAAAGTTAAATAATATATTTCTAAATTATCTTTATATTTAAATATTATAAAAAATATTTGTAAAAAAAAAAAATATAAAAAATTTGTAAATACTTTTTATTATACATATACTTAATTCTAGATTAATAAATATAATAAATGAAAGAAAAAAAATTTTATTAATAAATAATATAATGTATATATTAAAAAAAAAAATTATAATTAATATTTAGAATAATTTTTTTTTTAAATAAATAACTTTAAATTATAATATAATATTTTATATGGTATATATAATAATAAGTGATATGAAAAAATAACAAATAAATAAGAAAAAAATTAAAAAAATAAAAAAAAATAAAAAAGTATAAAATAAAAGATAAATTAAATATAAATATTAAAAAATAAAAAATAATATATAAATTATATAATATAATATAAATAAATAAATAAATAATAAATAAATAAAAAAAAAAAAAAATTAATATTTAAAAAATTAAATTATTATTATACTTTAAAAATTTTAAATATTTTTTTTATAATTTTGTATTTTTTTTTATATTTTTTTTTTTTTTATTTATTATGTTTATATTATAATATTTTTATATTTTAATAATTTATTTATAATATATTTTTTTTTTCATATATTATCAACTTATTTTTTTATTTTTTTATTATTTATTTTTTTTATTATACATCTTTATATCTTATATATATATTTTTTTTTTATTATTTCACAAATATTTATTTAAAACATTTTTTTTAATCTTTTTTAATAATTATTATTTTTAATTTAAAAAACGTATAATTTATATAAAATAAATGCCTAATCAAATAAACATAAATCATTTTTAGACTTTGAACAAATTGTGATGTTCAATTTAATATTCATTAACTTTATTTAAATTAATTTATTTAGCAAGGCAAACAATTTTTTCATTAATTTCTATTTTTCTTTTTTTTTAAAGGAACTAAATAAGTAGCATTTTCACAAAACAATGATGCATCTTTTTTGAAAATCTTTAAAAATTCATTATTTTTTAAAGATGCAGATTAAATAAATCCTAACACTCCAATATCAAAGAAATCTTAAAATTTCTTTTTAGAATATAGTTTTGAAAACTCATCAAATAAAGGAATAATCTTTAAATTAACTTTTTTGAAACCTTATAATAAATCTAATTCTTGTTAAGTATTGTCATCATAATTTTCATTTGCATAAAAAGAGTTATTATTATTATATTTTAAATTTAGTTTTTAATGTTTATTTTTATCTTTATCTTAATTCTTAAATTATTAAAAATTTGAATTTTTTTTTCTGTATCAAATATTTTTGTTTTTTTTAATCATCAATATTTTAGTCTATTATTGTACTTATTCTAGTATTGCTCATAGTAATTTAATCTTCAGTATTTTATTATTTTACTTTCTAATTTGCTTAATTTAAATAATATTCTTATATTTCTTTTTTTTATTAGCTTCCTTATTTTTAACTTTCTTCCTATTTTTATAAGCTTTAATTAATGTTTTATTAAAATTCTTATTAAATTTTAGCATTCTACAGTTATTCTACTTCTTCTTTAATTACTTTATCAATTATATTAGCATCCATTTTTAATGCTTCCTCTTATTTTTCTTTTTCAAATTTATCAGATCTATATTGATCAGTAAAAACCATTCTATATTCAGTTAACTTGTCTATCATTTGTAGAAAATATTGAATTAAATATTCAGAAACTTCTACTGAATGACCAACATGTTATTTATTTGCAATTTTAAACAATTTAGTTTTTTCTGGTTCATAATCACATTCTATACCTATAGAAATATAAGGAGAAATAACAATATCTCCCCAAAAACCTCTTACATAAACATTTTATTGGGTATTTTTTTTTTCCCTGGTAAATAACTTGAAAGAGTTCTATTTGGAATAATATATGAAGAAAATCCAGATTCATATGCAACCCCTGTCTATCTCCAGTCTCTGTAATGAATAAAATGAATAATAGAAGCTTATTCCTTTAAACCCATTTAATAATCCCAATCTATTAAGTTAGTTCTAAAATCGTATCTTTCTTTATAATGATATCTATTATATTAATATAAAAATTTATTTAATTATAATTTTGTAAATATAAATAACTTTATATATTAAATGTTTAAATATATTAAACAATAAATAATATTATTTTTTTAAATAAATATTATATATTTTATTTTATTTATTTATTTTTTTATTCATTTTTTTTTTATTTTTTTTTATCATCAATAATTTACAAAAAAATACCTTAATCTTTAATCTCTATGTTTTTCCATTTCAAAAGGTATTTTACTATGCCATAAGTTTAATATATTTGTCAGATCATCTATTTCTTTATATTTTATTTCACTGAAATCAAATAATTTTTTTAAAGGTGTACTAGTTTTTTTATTTTCGTTATTTATTAAATTAATCAATGTCGGCAATATTTCATTTATATATAATTATGTTTTTTCTCTAATTAAGCAATTTCCAAAAACATCTAAATATAGTTCTATTCTTTCTTTATAGTTTAATGTATATGTCTAAAGTATTTACATTAATAATATCATCCTACATGTTACTTCTTTTTCCTTTTCATATACATATATATTTAATTCTTTTAATTAATCATTTTTCGTTAAGTTGTCTGCAATTGTCTTAAGTATGTGTCGTATATCTGATGTACATACAAGAAGAACATTTAATGATTATTTTCCTTTTTATGTTTTATCGATAAAATTTATAGCAGGAGATAATCCCCAAAAATGAATAAAACCTATTTATTCAACAATATCCATTTTATTTAAAAATATTTTTAAATTTTTAATTTTCAAATTTTTATTTATACTATAAATGAAATAAAAGATTAAAAAAATTGATAATTTTTTAATTAAAAAATATATTGAAAAATTTAAACTATTTTAATAATAAATGTAATATAATTTATTTAGTTAGCATTAAAAATAATTTTATGAAAATTAAGATTAACTATTTCAAATAATAAGTAAAATAATTTTATAAAAAATCAATAAATAATAGTCATATTTGATTTGAAAATATTATAATTATATTATTAAATATTAATTAATATAATAAATTAAAAAAAAAATATACAATTAAATAATATAAATTAATTTAATAATAATAATTTAATAATACTTTTTTTAATTTTGAAATTAGAAAATTAGCTTATTCAAATTAAATAAAATTTACTCATTAATTTCTTGAACTTCACAATTTATATTTAATTTAAGGAATCCAGTCAAAGTTAAGAATCAAATTAAGTATTTATATATTCTCAATATATGAATTTCAGAAAATGTATTTAAATATTCATAAAATATAGGAATTTTGAATTTTATCAATAAAATAGATATAAAAATATTTAAAAATGAATAAAAATAAATAATTCAATCAAAAATTAACTTTATTTAAATAATAAGATTAGTAATTGAGCTTTCAATATTAGATTGTATTATTTTATTAATAAAAATAAGGTATTAAAGAATAAATATTTATAAAGTAAAGAGATAAAGCTAATTATACCTTGCTTACATTGATTACTGATTTCTTTAAATAAAAATTATGCCAAAAATGCAAATAATTTAAGTTCATACATAAAAAAAATCTGCATTTTTAAAAGCAAACAATTTTTTTTAGGGTATTATGATACTTTATATTATAAATTTAATATATTAAAGCATCTCTATCAACCTAATATAATAATTTGTCCATTTTTTCCCTCTTAAAGTTTTTAATATTTATTTGTGTTTTCTAGCGATATATAAATTCGTAATAATAAAAGTTTAGATAATTTATATTTAGGATAAACGCAGTGTTTCTTAATTAATATTTAATTTGATTTTAAACTTCTATAGAATAAAATAACTATGCATTATAATTATTAATTATTTAATTATTATAATTTTAATACCTCTGATTTTACAAATGGAATTAATTATTTTTTTATATTATATTTATAAGAATTATAGTAATTTTTTTAAAAATAAAATTAAAAAAATTATATATAAATAATTTTAATATCGAAGTTTAATATTATTTTTTATAATTACCAATTTTTTGTTTATAATAATAATCTTTTAAAAATATAATAATAAAACTTAAAATTATGAGGAATTAAGTTTAATTTTATTACTTTTAAAACTTTAAAAATATAAAAATATAATATTAAATTTTTAAAATTAGAATTCATAAAATTGGTATTATATTAATTTTTATATTAATTTTCGTTTTTTAATTTTTTTGTTTTTTAAAATAAATAACTTATTATTTTATTTAATTATTAAATAATATTTTAAAATGATAATAAAGAAGTTTTATTTATTAAATTTTATAAAAATATTAAAGAATCTTAATAATGAAATTATTTGGTCTTATATAATAGAAGTTACAATATATAAGTAAATAATATTTATCAGTAGAATAATTAATTAATACAAAATATTTATTAAAGTTATTACTTGTATGAAAATTTAATAATTTATCTTTCATGATATAATTTAAAAATATTTGATAAAAAATTTAATAGAAAAATATGAAATGAAACAAACTTTAAATTTTTATCAAAAATCTCAAATATTTCTATAATTTTATTATAAAAAATATATGTAATACTAATTTTAGGTTCATATCTGTTAATTTATTATTTAATTTTTATAACTTTTTATTAAAGATTTTTAATAAAATTCGCCATATTTTAAAATTTATATTTTTTCATATACTTACTTACTCATATTATTTTTATTTAATGTATTTTATTAATTCTTTATATATACAACTTATTTTTTTCTTCTTTATTTAAATATTTATTAAGATTATAATTTACTGAGATATTTATGTTATGATTAAATGTGTTAAAATCCTAAATATACAACTTGCAAAATAAATATGATAATCGAGTTTCTTAAAAACTTTTTTATTATTATTTTATTTAATAATTAAATCTATCTTTTTATTATCTGATAAACATATTTTGCAATATTAATTTAAAAACAAATAATTTTTGATTATTTATTTAAATATTATTTACATATTTTATTTATAGTAATCTTAAATATTTTGATTATATCAATATAATAATAACTTATTTATTTTATTAATTACATATATAATTATATTTAATAATATTTCTTATATTTTATTATTATCTTTTATAATTATATTTAAAAATATTATTTACTTATTCATTTTTTTTTTTAAAGGCCATTTTATATTTTTATTACTTTTATTTTTTGTTAGTAAATAAGTTAATATAAGTTATAAAAAAAAAGCACAAATGATATATATATTAGATTAAATAATATAATATTTTTAATCAATGAAATTATTAAATTAAATCAATTTTTATTATTTTTAATTAATAATAATTTTATCTCTATTAATCCATTTAATTAAAGTTTCTAAAATAAAAAAAACATATATTAAAATATATTTATAAAAATAATTATTTTAAATATTTTATTTATTAAAATAAAAATCAAGTTTTTTAAAAAATATTTACAAAATAAATAAAAATTAAATAAAAAAAAAATATTGCATTTAATGAATTTTTAAATAAAGATATATTTAATTATTAAAATATTATTATTTAATTTTTATTTAAAAATTTCTTTAAGAAAGTATTCTTTTTTTTGAAATAAATAATTAAAAATAAAAATAAAAAAATAACAAATAAATGATAAAATTAATTTCCATATTATTCATATCATTATTCGTTTAGTCAAGATGTATCAATATATAAATACTAATTTTGTAAAACTAGATTATTAACTAAATTTATGTCTTAAATCAAAGCTAAAATGAACTTAAAATTCTTATTTAGATTTCTATTAATTATTGGATGGATATTTTAAAGAAAATAACAGAATAAAAACCGTAACTAAATATTTTAAATAAATGATTGAATGTGAAGATTAATCCTCTAAAGAGCCAACAAAAATATCCGATAGAAAATAATGTTTAGTAACACTTTAAGTCTACTTTTGTTATACTCCCTCGTAATTAATAAGTTGCTGAAAAAGGTTTCCTCTAAAATGTCCTTTAATTACTCAACTAATTCAGAAAGAATATTGTAAACAACTTGAGAGCTAAAGAAGTTGCTGAGTATAATGCTATAAACTGCTACAATGAGTAAAAAGCTAATAATATAGATTATCTTACTCATCTTTGATTTGCTTAATAAGAAATAAAAAATTATTAAAGAAATAATTGTTTTTATTATTAACTAAACTTTAATTTCCTAAAAAGCATAATCTAAAATAAGAAGAAACTAAGAATTATTATATGCTGCGACCGAATATTTTTTTATTAATTACTTTATTTATTTAATTAAATATTTAATAAATTAAAAAATATGTGTTTATCTTTCGGTACTGGATATGTTTCTCTTTGTTAAGGAAGAATTTAATTATTACTCACCAAAATAGACAAAATTAATGTAAGATTGGGAAACATAATGTTTAAAACAGATTTTTGTAAAAAAGTTTTGATAAATACGTTAAATGATCTCCTTATTATTATGTTAAATTTCTTGTTCATTAATAAGTTTAATATAATTTTAAGAGTGCTGAAGCTACTGGATATACAAAAGATTATTTATTATCAATTTACACAAAAACATATTACAAACAAAAAATTTATATATTTTTTATTTTATAAGTAAAAAAATTATAATAAATAAAACAATAATTTGTAATTATTTAATTAAAATTATTATTTTTATAAAAATATTTTTAAAGATCAATATTAATTGAATAGTATTTAAGATATATATCAAATTTTTAATTAAATGTGATTTTAATTATTTTTATATATATAACTATTTACTATAATTTATATTTAATTTTTGTATTATTGAATTTAATTGAAGTTTAAAAATAATAAAACATGAATTTTATTTTTTTGAATTAACATGGAACTATCTATCATTCAAAAGAAAAAAAAATATTATATGAAATATAATTATATTTTAAAAATGAATTTATTGCAAAATTTTTTTGTTTTTTTTTTGCAAAATTATTAAATGGAGATAAAAATTTTATTACAAAATAAAATTATTAAATAATTTAAAAATAAAAAAAGAAATATCCAATAAAGGAAAAAATCAATATTATCCAAATCGAAAAAATGCAATAAATGATAAAAATAATTAAATATAAATTTTCATCATAAAATACTTTAAAAGGTGTTTTAAAAGATGTAATACCATAATAATAAGAATAATTAAAATAAATAAAGTCGATGCATTCATAAAAACATATATAAAATTATAGCCTAAACTAAATATTGAGAGGAATGCGCGGAATATCTGCAATTTTTTATGACTAATCAATTGTAGAACCTTAAAAAGGAGTATTAATACGAGGTTATACACTTTCAGAGCTAAAATAAAAGCTTCCAAAGCGCAAAAAAGATTCAAATAATGACCAAGAACCGCTTCCTGAAGGAATTTTTTTTCTTCTTTTAACTGGTTAAATTCCCACGTTTGAATAAGTAGAACAAGTAAGACAAGAATGGGATGAAAGAGGAGAAATATCTGATGAATTGTAAAAATTTATACAAAGTTTAGATAATGATTTACATCCAATGACAATGCTTTCGTTAATAATATTGCACGAATAGCGTAAATCGAAATTTTCGTGTTTATATCAAGATTAGAAGTTGCATAAAGAAAATTATTGGGAATATGTATATGAAGATTCAGTTGATTTAATATCAAAATTACCAAGGATAGCATCTATTATTTATAGAAAGAAATATAAAAAGGAAATTATTTGCCAAAATTATGGCATTGGATTTGATTGGGCTGAATAAATGGCATTTATGATGGGATTTGAAGATAATTATGTCGTAAATGAGTGCTTTAGAGCATTTTTGAGTCTTCATTCAGACCATGAAGGGGGTGAAGTTTCTACTCATGCTTCTCAACTTGTAGGCTCGGCTTTAGGTGACCCTTATTTGGCTCTTTCGAGTGCTTATAATGGATTAGCTGGGCCTCTACATGGACTTGCTAATTAAGAAGTTTTAAAATGGATTCTGTAGTTTGCTTAATAATACGGATATAATCCTACAGATTAATAAATTGAATATGTTGTAGATTTTAATATTAAAAATGGAAGAGTTATTCCAGGTATTTTTAAATTTATTTAATTACATATTTATTTGTTTTAAATTAAAAAGGGTACGGACATACTGTACTTAGAGTAACTGATCCTAGATTTACACGTTTTTAAGAATTTTCACAATTATATTTAAAAGATAATGAAATGATAAAACTTGTTCATTAGTTTAGCATAGTAATCCCTTAATGTCTTAAAAAATATAAAAATATTAATAATCCTTATCCTAATGTTGATGCACATTCAGGAGCTTTACTTTACTCACTTGGAATTAAAGAATTTTAATTTTATACAGTAATTTTTGCAGTTTCTAGAAGTTTGGGAATACTTTCGAATTTGGTTTGGTGTAGGGCGTATGGTTTGCCGATTTTATATCCTTAATCTTGTGATTTAAATTATTTGAAATAAATTTTCGATAAGTAATGAATCAAACTAAATGTTAGTATTATTATTTTATATTTTATAGTTTATTAGAGTTTTTTTATATAATTTTAATTTTTTTAATTTAATATAAACATCTTTTATATATCTTAATTTAAAATAAAAATTATTTTAATAAATATAAAATATTTATTATGGAATTAATATTTTTTTCTTAATTTTGATATTTTTAAAATAATATTTTTTATTTAAATATATTTTTAAATTTATTTTTTTAATTATAGAATACAATTAATTAGCATTATGTTTGATTTTCATAGTATATTATTAAAAATTTACCCTTAATTAAAATAAAATTTTATACAAAAGTATTAAAGACTCTATTTTATTAAAATATTTTTTATTTTGAATTTTGATTTCAATTTATTTTTACAAAAATATTAAAGACATTTTTTTTTAATTTTGGTATGCATTTTATAATTTTATATAAATATAATTTTTTATACAATATAATTTCTATTTTATATTTTCAGTTATTAAATAATTTCTTAACATTATTTAAAAAAAAAAATAATAAATTAAAAAAATTATACATTTTATTAAAATATTTTAACTTATTAATTTTGTTATGTTTTGTTTAATGCTGAATATTTTCTTTTACTAATGTTTTTAAGTATCTTAGAAAATTATACATATGTTTAAAAATTAAAATAATTATTTTTATAGAATTATATTTTTTTATTATTAATCTTGATAATTTTTTTCAAGATAATATTTTATTATTTTACCTTTTTAAAAATAAAAATAAGTGATTATTTTTTAAATAAAAAATAATTACTTATTTTTTTAGTGCATATTATTATTAATAATTTTTATTATAAATACGTAAATATTTGTGTCTATATTAACAATTATTAAAAATAAAAATTTTAATTTTAAATTTTAACTAATTATGATGTAATATTTTTTATAGAAATCTTATTTTTTGCATTTTATTATTTAAATATTATGAGTATATATATTCGATTAATTAGATTATAAAAATATTATAATTATTTTTAAATTAACAATATTTTTTTTTAATAAAAAAAACCATTTTAATATATATTAACAATACATAAATAAAAATGACTGACATACTCACTTATTAACCTGGAATACCTAATGATTAAATTCTTTAAAATATAATAGGATATTCTACAATAGTACATTACATATACTAAAATATATTTATATAAATAATATTTTTTATAAACAAAAAGATAAAAACACCTTTTGGTTAAAAATTAGCTTTATATGCTGATCATACAGCAACGGGTCGTCCCTTTTAACTAATAGAAGATATAATAGCTTAAAAAATAAAGCCAATGTTGGCAAACTCCCATACTGAAACATCTCTAATGGGTTACTTTTCAACTCAGATGCTTCATTATGCAGAAGAATCGATCTTAGCTTCTTTCAAAGTTAATAAATCTACACATTTCGCTATACCAACAGGCAATGGGGCGACAGGTGCCTTTGAAAGACTTACAAAGATATTGAGGATTTCGGATATAACAAAGTAGGCTATTTGGGAAAAGAACAGTTAAGGAATTCCCTATGTGTATATAACTCCATATGAACATCATTCTAATATTTTATCTTGGTAATTAAGCGGTTGTAAACTATAAAAAGTACAAAGTGATAGCTATGGAAATATGCATATTAATGATATGAAAGAAAAGCTATTTTAAAATCAAAATTAGAACGTTCAAATTGTTTCTGTTAGTGCTACTTCTAATGTGACCTCTTAAAGGACTAATCTTAGCAAAGTTAATGATGTCATTAAAGAGTACAGAGAAAAACATCTTTAAGAAGGACATAAAGTAAATATTCTAATTTATTTTTTATTAAATAATTTTTTATTTTTAAAGATTTACTTTATTGTTGATGCTGCTGCTTTTTGTTCTCATAATAGACTTAATTTAAGTTAAAATGGATTATCAGAAGTTGACTTTGTGTGCATTTCTCCACATAAACATTTAGGAGGAGCTGAAGCTACAGGAATACTAATTTCAAGGCTTGTGGCTTATGATAGTACTTAACCTCCAAGTTTTCCAGGTAAAAAATATTATAAAATAATTGTAAATTAATTATAAAAAAGGAGGAGGAACTGTAAAAGCTGTAGTTGGTTTAGATGTTGAATAAACTTGGTATGACGATGATCCTTTTGCTCGAGAAATGCCCGGAACTCCAAATGCAGTAGGATTTTATAGAGCGGCTCTTACTTTTGAGTTATAAGATAAAATTGGTATAGAATATATATTAGAAAAAGAAGAATAGAATGCGAAATATTTTTATAAGCGAATATAAGAGATAAATTAAGAATTTAAGAAGAAAGAATATATTCCTCCTAGAGATATTTTGATTTACGGAGATCCAGATATTGAAATAAGATATGATGTCTTTTCCTTTAACATTTATGGACCAGGCACTAATACAGATTCCTAAGGAAAGTCTCTTTTCCATCCTAATTATGTCGCCAGACTTCTAAATGATATTTTTGGAATTCAAGTCAGAAGTGGATGTAGTTGTGCTGGACCTTATGGAGTTCTTTTATTGGGAATTCCGGAAAAAAAAGCTACTGAAATTGTTGGAGAATTACTTTAAGGATATGAAGATGTTAAACCTGGATGGGTACGTTTGGATACATTTTTTTCTTTTGAAAAATACGAAATAGATTATATTGTTGAAGCTATTAAAAGTATTGCTATGTGGGGAGAAAAGCTTTAAAGATTTTATGAACTCGATCAAAATACAGGATAATGGACTTTAAGAAATAATTCACATCCTACTTTCAGTTTTTAATTGGATGAGGTAATGAATAATGTGATTGATTAAGCTAGTTTAGATGAACGAGACGAATATTTTAGAAAATAATTATAAATTGGTAAAGATTTGTTGCAAAATCCTGAAGATTATATTAAGAAAAATTTCCCAAATTTAATAATTTTTAATAATAAAAATACTTAAAATAATATTTCTGTTGATAATATATCTAATAATAGCCCTTTGTTAAGCTCCTTGACTATTAAAAAAGAATTATAATTTAGTGAGGGCTTAATTCGTAAAAAATAATCTGGAGATAGTATAACTAACACTAACAAAAATAAAAAATAATAAGAAATTGAAGAATTTTTCTCTAATAGAGAATATAGGATGATGAATATGATTACAAGTTTAATTAAATAAGAAATTAATAAAAATAATATTAGTTAAGAAAATAATAACAAGTAATCTAACAATATTAATTTTAATAACCAAAATTCTAATAAAATTAATGATGACTATATTCAATAATAATAGCTATCTTCTAGAAGCAATAATAATAAAAATTCAAAATATTATTATAATTAACATTAAATAAAAAATTAATATAGTTATTAAACTAATTCAGTACAAGACCCAATTATTTAAGAATATCCCCAAAACAATTCTTATAACTTATTATAAATTTTTAATCTTTATAATGAATATAATCTCGTAAATTTATTAGGTTGCATTTAATTTTCTCAAGATTATAATTTTTCTTAAAAATATAATCTTACAATTTAAGAATTGAGTAAAATGTATAAATAAATCTCAGGGACTAGTGATATTGCAGAAGGAGGATTAAATTTTGAATAATTTAATGCTTTTGTAGAAACTATCGCAATATACGTTTATAAAAATAATAATAAATTTGTTGGAGTTTACTAGAAAATTAAAGCTTTTTATGATTATTTAAGTAAATAATAAGAAGATTTATAAAGTTCGAGAGAAATTGAAATTTGTTTACCGAAAATAAAAAGAGCAGAAACTGAAGTCGATTAAAATGTAAATACTTTACCTAAAATTAAGAAATTATAAAATCAGATTAGTGAAAATTTTAAATATTTAACTAATTAAGCATCAAGAAAAGTTGCAAATATTAGAAATTCTAAATAATACATAATAAATACTAAAAATGATAATAAAAATGTAATCAATTATTTATAAAAATGATTATTTTTTTAAAAAATATAATTTAAAATTATTTATTTTATTAATATGTTTTTTTTTTTTTTGAATTATTTATTCGTGTTCATATATATATATGCATATTTTTTATTCTTATTTAAATTTTTTATTCATCAAATAATTTTAATTTTAAAATATTAATAAAATTATGGAATAAATTTTAATTAATAAATAAAAAAAATTAACTTTTTTTAAAAAGAATGTTTTCATAAGCAATTATATTTTATAATTATTTTTTAAATTTGTAAGCAATACTTTTTTATATTTTTTTCAGTATAAAAATTATGTTTTTATTTATGGATATATATATATTTATTTAATATTTTATTTTAAAAACTATTTTTAATAAATAATATACATAGATATTTAAAAAATAAATATATATTAATTTTTGGAAATAAAAGTTATCAAAATAAAAAAATATTAAATTAAATTTGATTAAAATCTTTTTTTTATATATAAAAATAATAGTCATTTAATTTAAATTCCAGTAGGGTTTTTAGAATAATTGATTGGAACAGGTATTTCATGAATTTACTTATAAGCAGTACCTCTATGAAATTTAAATCTTTTTTTAACCAAATCAACTTTTTTGAATACAATAACCCTATAGCAATGAGAAACTTCCCATAAATCTTTATCAATTTAAGGATGTTCTTCATTAAAATTAAGTTACATTTTTGAAAAAAGATCTTTATATTCATATTTATATTATTAATAGAAATCAATAAAATTTGCATTTTCAACAACTTCTAATTTATAATCATAAGCAAGCTCAATTAAATTATTAATTTCGACTAAATATTCAGAAACATATTTAATTTAACCTTCTGAATCTTTTTCACCTACAGCATCTTATAAATAGAAATCATATTTCAGTCCATACAATCCATTTTTATCAGGAAAATCAAGATTTTTGAATTTCATAGAGAAATACTTATTTTAAAAAATATATTCACCTTCATCATTTTTAAAAGAGCGGTTTCTCATTTTTTTAACAATAGAGTTACTATCTGAAAAAGTAAGTAATAAAAAACCATTATTATTCAATTTAGAAGTTGCATTATCAAAAAAGTTTTTTGCATTTTATTCATTTGAAAACATATAATGCATACACATTTAGCAACTCACTATATCAAAGTTAAAACCTTTTTTAGAATCATTTGCGAATTTTTCAGATATGATGTATTTCCAAAATTCTTCTTTGGGGACAGTTCCATCTTTTTAATAAAAGCCAAACTTGAATTTTTTTTACATTAATTTTTTAGGTAATTATTCCATTATTTGTGTGGCTCTTCGATGAGCTTCCTTTAATGAATTTAACGATATATCTACACCAATATAAAATGCGATATCTGCATGTAACCATTTTTTTAAATCGCCTCCTTTTCCACAGCCAATTTCTAAAACATAAAGCTGATTTGAGCAATTAGTTAAATCTTCTTCTTTTTGGATAATAAGTTGAGATTGTTTCGAATATTTTGATATTATTATGCTTTTTATCCAATTATGAAAATAACGTAAATCAGCAGTTTCTAAATTCTAACGGGTTAACATAGATATTACTTCTTACTTTTCATAATATGTTTGAGCTTGATTATTTATATATATTTAATCTTTATTAATTTATTAAGTTTAAGATATTTATTATGTTACTTATGTTAATGTTTCTTTTTTCTTGGATAATGTAGATGTATTAGAAATTGATTTTTATTTAGATATTTATTATTATTTTTATTATTTCTATTATTTTTATTACTTTTATTATTATTATTATTATTATTATTATTATTATTATTATATTTACAACTACTATTTAATATGTTTATTTTTTTTTCTTTTGTATTTAATTCGAATTCTTTATTTTGTAGATGTTAGATATTCTTATTATTTGTCTTACATATCTTATTGTTTTTTTTATTTTTATATTCTATTGTATTCACCTGAATATTCTTCATCATTATCTGTAAGTATTTCTGAAATATTTTCTTCATCTTTTTCTAAATTATATTTATTTTCATTATCGTTTTTTTAGCTTTTTTTTTATTTTAATTCTAGGTCTGTTTTATTATTATCATTGTCTTCTTCTTAACTAAAATGTAATTCGAATTCTGAATTTTCTCTTTACAATATATTTGAATTTGTTCGTTCCATTTTTTTATTTATTTTATAATAAATTTGGATTTTTTTATATATATATTATTTTTTTATTTTTGCAAATATATAAAATATACAAAATATTTGTATTTTTTTTATTTTATATATATATTAAAAACCATAAATTTATTATATATTTCATATTATTTATAAAAAAAAATAAATATAAAATTAATATTTTTATTAATTTGTTTAAATTGTTAAAAAACTATCTATGTTTATAAAAGAAATATTATATTATTATTTAAAATTTATTAATGCTTTAATTATTATTAACTATATTACTTTATAAATTTATCATCATTCAGTATTTTTTAAATTTTTTTTAAAAATATAAACTTTATTTTCATATTACATGAATAATAATGAAAAAAACATATTAAACTCCTTTGTTATAAAGGATTTAGATAATGAATAGTCTTTTGATATTTTACAAGAAGATTAGTATAGTAAAATACTGTAAACGTCTTAGAACATTAATTAAAGTGTTAATAATATAAAAATTAAAATATGGGATAATTATTGGTAAAAAAAATAGAATAATTTCTTTTCCAATACAAATCTAAAAATATTTAAAATAAAAAAGGCGATTAATATAATAATAAAAATAATTGTTTTTTGATTATATATAATTAGGTGATTTACAATCATTAAAGTAAATGATTGAAATAGAAAAGGCATAATTTGAAATTAATATAAAGTAAAAAACATAAAAATTTATAAAAAGTAAAATAAAAATAAGATGGCATGATGATTGGCTTCCTGCTCATTATGCATGTAGTGAAGGCCATTCAGATATACTAAAATATTTGATATCAAAAGGAGCAAATATTAATTAATAAACATCTTTTGACTATACAACTTTACATTTAGCATCAATAAAAGGATGTACGGAATGTGCATAAATTATATTAGAGACTGATTCATCATTTATTAATTGGCAAGACAAAGAATTTAATACTCCAGTGCATTATGCTTGTAAATATGGATTTTTAGATTTAGTAAAGCTTTTCTTAAAATATAATGCGGATTTATCAATTTAAAATAATTTGGGAAATAAACCCGAATAAGAAGTTAATTCTTTTGAAATATTAAAGTTTATTAAATAATATGGAAGTACAGAAACAAAATAAGATCCTTAAATATCATATAATAGATGCGTTTTTAATGAAAAAATCATACTTAATAGTAGGCAAGATCATGTTTTAAAATTACTAAAATTAACAAAGATGAACTCAGAACTAAAAAAATATTAGCCTTAAGATGATTAAAAGATGAAAGAAGATGAATAATCAATAATAAATTTAAATAAAAATTCGAGTTAAATAATATCCACTTTTTAAAGTAATTAAATTGGTCCTTAATCATTTGAAGCAAAATAATTATTAGGGAAAGGAGCGTTTGGGTAAGTATTTTTAGTTTAAAAAAAAAACACTGACTAATTTTATGCTATGAAAGTATTATAAAAAAATAAAGTTATAGGAAAAAGTATATTAAGGTATTATTTGACAGAAAGAAATATTTTAACTATTATTAAACATCCATTTATTGTTTCTTTAAAATATGCTTTTTAAACTAAAAAAAACTATTTTTAGTCATGGATTATTGCTCTGGAGGAGATTTGGATCATTTATTAATGAAATAAGGAAAATTATCGATAAATGTTGTCAAAATTTATGTTTCGGAACTTGTTTTAGCTATTGAAACTTTACATAAAAATAATATAATTTATAGAGATTTAAAGCCTAGTAATGTTGTTATTGATAATGAAGGTCATGTACTTATAACTGATTTTGGATTAGCTAAACAAGGTATTAATTAATAATATGTTACTAAGTCTTTTTGTGGGTCACCAGCTTATTTGCCTCCTGAAATGCTAACTAAAAATGGCCACACTTTAAGTTTGGATTGGTATTTGTTAGGTGTTTTAATGTATGAGTTATTAACTGGAATGCCTCCTTTTTATCACGATGAAAAAGCTTAATTATTTGAGAATATAAAAAGTGGTTCATTGAAGTTTCCAAAATATGTTTCTGCTGATGCAAAAGATCTTATTTAAAAATTAATGATTAAAGATCCTATGAAAAGATTGGGAAGTAAAGGAAGTCAAGAAGTGAAGAATCATCATTTTTTCTCAGATGTAAATTGGACAGATGTTTATAACAAGTACTATAATATATTTTCTTATTTTATTTTTATTTATTTTTGTTTTTGAATAGAACATTAAAGCCTCCTTTACCAAGAAAAAATATTAGTTAAAATATAGATTAATATTAATTAAAAGTTACAATTTCAGAAAAAAAATAAGTAGAAGAAGACTGTTAAGGCTAGTAAGATAGTACGTTTGTAAAGTTTTGGGATTATAATATTGATGATGATAAAAATAAATTCAAACACTAAAGCAGCTTTTGATTACTTTTTAATATTTTATATTATAAAATAATAACTTTACTTTATATAAATATATATTAGTTTTATAAAATAAGTTTACATTTTTCTAAGTATTTATTATGTTTATTGCTATAATTAAAATAAGAATATACTTCTTTTTATTATTTTTAAAAATAAAATGACCTATTTTTTTATGAAATTTATCATAATCAATAGTGGTTTATGTCCTCCTTCTTCTAATAACTTTTTTCGAAAAGTTTTAGTATTATAAAGTTTATTTTTGGAATAAATAAGTTTTTAAATAAAATGCATTAATTTTTTTATTATTATTATTAAATAAGTTAAAATAAATTTAGGGTTGAAAAAGGCTAAAATATTTTATTTTGTTTGAATGAAATTTTGAGAAAGTCGAGAGAAAAAAAATAATAAAATTAAATTTAATTCAGAAAAGTGTGTTTATTAATTTACTTTTTTATTAGTTATTTTATAATTAAAATAAATATTTAATAAACAAATTTATTTATAATTTCTTAAAAAAAATATTATTAATAGTAATATAATTTGATAATAAATATATAAATTTTAATTTTTAATATTTAATTAATAATAATCACAAATTTTTGATTTTTGATTTATATTTTTTTAACTAAATATCTAAAATATCTTTTATTAAATCATATTATTCATCTGTAAGATTAAACATTTTTTAGAAATTTTTGGCTTTTATGATTGATTTGTCGTCTTCATATAATCCTAATTAAACAATCCTTATTTATATATTATTATTATTTTATTTATTATTCAATATAAAAAATAAATACTTTCCATTAGGCAAAGTAACATCTAAAATAAAAAAAGGATGCTTCTTTTTTCTAATCTATGTTTGTAAATTTGGGCTTTGAGGTGTATAATTTCTACTATTTGGTTTTTTATTAGAGTTGTCTAATTTAGTTTTATTTCGAGAGACTCTCATTCTATAAATATTTTCTTCAAACCCTTTAGGGCTTATAGAATTATTAGAGTATCTTTTTTTATTTTATTTTTTGTTTAATAATATGTAATAAATTACATTTTTTATTTTTTAGTTTATATTAGGATATTATTATTATTAATGATTTCTTATTTTTCATTTTCAAATTTTAATAATTAACGTTGTTTTTTACAATTTTCTCTTTATAATATATCTTTAGTTTATCTAGAAACAAAATTTTTAAGATTAAATGTAGGAGAAATACTTTTTGTTTTTGGTTAAAAAGAGCATTCTTTAAGTTCATTTGATGCTTTTTCTTCTCTAAGTAATTAATTTTTTTCCTTTAACAATTTTTGCTTTTATAACATATTATTAATTCTTAAAATCGGATTACATTTAACAGTTTAAAATTAACTATTATATTTTTATTAATTTTCTTATTCAAAACTATTTATTTATTAATTATTATTTTTCTAAACTAATGATTAATTTTAGCTACTCAAATTTAAATGATAAATACCACTTTATGTGTTTGAATATTTTTCTGTTTATAATTAAGAATCTAAAAAATAGGAATTCTGATTTATTTTTGGCTTAAAACTATACTTTTATTATTCTAAATCGATATATTATTTTTAAATTTTGCTCTCTGAAATTTTTTTAATCTTATTTTCCTCATTTAATTATTTAAATTTTTAAATTATTGTTTCTAAAGGCCAAAGCTCAAAACCTTATAGATTAATTTAAGCGTTTTTCCTGTCCAATTCTAAATTTTTAATATTTTTACCCGTAAAACTACATAGAAAATCTATTGTTTATTATATTGTCAAATTTGATGGATCCATTAGTATTCTTAAAATAGAAAATACTACTTCAGTTGATACTTAATCTTTATTTATATATCCAACTAAATAAAACCAAAATTACTAATGCAAAACTGTTTCTTGTAAATATTTTTCTTTAGAATATTAATTATTCAAAGCGATATATGATACTTTTTTATACTTTATTTTTATTTTTATTCTATTTTTTTACATTTATATGTTTTATCATCAAATTTTAAAAATGTAAATATATTGAGTTTTTATAATAGTTTTCCAGTTTAATAAAAATTAAGCAAGCCTAAATTTTATTTATCGACAGAACTTATAGAATATAATATTTCCTATTCTATTTTCTTTGCTAAAATTTTGTAACTGTTTTAGCTTATTTTTTTTTAATTTGACATTTATTTTATTTCTTTATCAACCTTTATAAATATTAATAACTGATAAATTCAATTAATATTTTTTACTTATTATTAAGACAATTAATAACATATTTTATTCTATAAACCTCTTTAATAAATACTATTATCCTCCTTTTCATGTGTTTTATAATTTTATAGATAATTTTTTTATTAATATACATACATCTAGACTATTTTTCCTTTTCGAATTGCTTGTATTTAAGTTTTAATTTGTTTTATTTTCGCTTATTGTTGAATAAAATTATTAAGTATTTTAATTTGAAGTTGAATTGTTATACTTAGGACAATCATCTGTGTTATTTTTATTTAATTTTAAATTAAAAATAAAAAATACTTTAATCCATTATTTTAAATATAATTTAACTAATTTTTGCAAATTAAATATTTATAAAAAATACAAATAAAAGAAAATATATAACAATAATAAAAATATCGGCATAATATATAAATAAATATATTCATTTATTTTAATAATCACTTTAGAATTATTATTTGTTCATCTTCAAATTATAACCATTATTATATTTAGACATTTTTTAATTTCCAGAGTTTTTAGACTAAATTAAAATATTTATGAGATTTTCAGATTTAGTCCTATTGTGTAAATTTGCATTTTTTTAAATTTCATTAACTTTATTAAAAATTGAATTAGGATAATTATTAACATTTTTATTAAAATTAAAGTTAAAATTTATATTTTAAATTTATTATTGATTTTAGTTATTCTTATTGGTAAAAAATAGATTCTCAAATTATTATTGTTTGAAATCAAATTAATTTTCTGAATGTCGCTAAGTTTAAAATTTACGAATAGGATTAGCATTTTTATTTTTATATTATGTATTATTTTGCCGCATAATATATTAATTAGAATCTTATTTTTCAAAATATTAAGTAGAAAATTGGTTAAATTAATTATTCTTTTCTAATGAATTATTATGAGAAAGCTATTTGTTTATTATATTTTGAAATTTCTATACATTTATTACTATTTAATCAGAATTAATATTATTGTTTATTTGTTAATAAAGCTGTTAATTGTCGTTTTTTGAATTAAATTAAAATTAAAATGTAGAAGGGTTTTATTAAAATACAAAAAACGGTGATTATTATTATTAAGAGAATTATTATTATTATGAAAAATTCTATTAATGTGCTTATTACTATTATTTTTAATTCTATTAATGTTATTCTTTTGACTATTGTTAACTTTTTCTATGCTAATTATCTGTTCTTTTTTTTTAATCATAATCATTTATTACTTATTGATTCTACTAATTATCAAATTTCGTTTATTTTAATTTTTATTCTTGAAAATTTTAATAATTATTGTTTTTTTTTATCTATTAACATATTTCATCTTATATACTTTACTTTACTAAAATCTAACTTCTTTAAGAATTGTTTTTTGTAGTTTAAGCTTTTGTAAATTTCATATTTTGTATTTTTTCCTTTTAACCATTTTAGATATTTTATTTAAAAACATCATAAAAATTATATTTTTAAAAATTAGTATCTTTATTTTTTCCAGAAAAACTTCTTTAAGATAAAGGTTCTCTTATATGGTTACTATTATTAATTTTTTCATTATTGAAATTTTAATTATTTTTAGAGCTATTTAATTAGTCTAATTTTAGTAAGAAATTCAAATCTTTTTTATGAAATTACTTTTATTATTGAGTAAATTGCATTTAAGTTTCTGGATTTTTAAAAAATATTTAAAGTTATTTTTATTATTAATTGTAATTTTTTACACTATTTTATGGAGATTTAATATTTAATTGCTTCTGAATAGAATTTTTATTTATTTATTATTATTATTATTTTTCATTATTATTTTAATTATTACTTTAAATTGTTTTCTATTTACATATATTGTTTATTTAATCATAAGTTTAAATTTTTTCCCGTGCACTATTAATAATTTTATTGCTTTTTTAAACATTTTAAATAAAATCATTTTTTTATTATTGGGCTCTTGAAGATTGTTTTACTGAATTGGATTCTATTTGGAAATTTTTAAATTCATTAAAATATTAAATATCATCAAGCCTTAATTTTTATATCTATTATTTTTTTAGAATATTTTAATCTTTCGAACTTATGGAATCTTATTTCTTCTTTTCAGTTTATTTATCTTAAATTTTATTTTGTTTTAAATGACTTTTGTTTTAATTTTCTTTAATCTCTTATTTATGTAAAAAATTAAGGAATTAATTTAATTCATTTTAATCAAATTAAACATTGTCATCCATATCATTATTTGTAAATCTACTATTACCATTCACTATCTCTTCCAATTTATAATTAAGTTCTTGAATAGTTACTGAAATTTCAGTATTAGTTTTCCTTATTTCAATGTCTTTTATATTTTTTTTCTTGTTAAATTATTATAATTGTTTTTAATAATTTTCTAAGTTTTATTAGCATATAATCTATGCTTTTCCTCTATTTATATAACTGCTAATGTTTCCTAAAAGCATTGAACTTATATTTAATTATGAATCGCTAATTTAGCTTTTTTAAATTTGGGAAGTTTCATTCGTTTTTAATGCTGGCTTTTCGCCTACAATCCCTTTTGGGGGCCTATTCGGATTTCGTTTGTTTTCTTATTCTATTATTTGTGCAATTCTATAATATTCATATCTTCTTTTTTTGTCATGATATTTGTTCAATATATTCATTTCAGGCATAAAAAATAACCTTGGAATATCTTTATGGAATTTATAATATTCTGTAAGCAATTTAGATTTGTTTGGGTATTCTTACACAAAATAAAATCTCTTTAAATATTCTTCTTATTCGTCTAATAATATTATGTCTTTTTAATATATAACTGCATTTGTTCTATTACTTATTAAAATATCGTTTATGTCTTTTGTATAATAATAGTTTTGGGAAGATGCATATTTTTAGTAGAGTCGCGAATTTACTATTTTATGCTTTTTTCTTTAAAATAATTCTTTAGTCTTACATAAATTACAATTTATTTTTTAGATTAATTATTAATTTTTTTAAATATTTTGTATTTAATATAGGATGTTTGTTTAAGATGTTCGTTTTTGGTATTTTTCTAAAGCTTTTTCTAAATTTATACAACTTAATCTTTTTTCTAGAATTTTAAATTATTCGCTTATTTTTATGTTAGGTTCGTTTTTTGTAGATTAAACAGTTTTAATTTATTATAATTATTATGGCGAACATATTTATTTAGTTTATTTTTATGTATTCATATATTTTTTTTGCTACTATATTTTATTTTTTTAAATTTAATCTATGTTTTTTTAAATATCGGTATATAATATTTTTTTATTTAGGATTTTTTGTTTTTCTTTTTAAATTTCCTTTTTTTTTTTTTAAATTTATAATATTAATTGTAATTTATTGTTTATATTATCTTTTGAATTATTTTTTTAAAAAAAACTTATTTTAAAAATATAAAAAAAAATTAAATAATTTAAAATATAAAATAATTTTTTAGTTCTTTTTGTTTTTTTTCTTTATTTAAAAGTTAAAATAATTAATTGTTATAAATAAAAAATAGCTACAATTATTGATTTATAAAACAATAATTCATTACTTTAATTTTTAAATTAAAAAATATATGTTTTTATCTAATAATATTGAATTATAATTATAAAAGCCTTATGTTTTATTATTAGAATAATATATTTATTTATCGTCTTTATTATATTTATAATATAGAATTTAAATATTTAAATAATTAGGATTATAACTTCTTTTAAATAAATATTTTAATATTTTAGAATTATCAAATAAGTTAGTAATTGATAAGTATATATATATATATATATATATATATATATATATATATATATTAATATAAATTTATTTATTTTATATTTTTTAGAAATAGAAATTATAAAATAAAAATCAATAATCTTTATTCATATCAAATCGTCAAAGGGATTTACTTATTAAGCAACTTAATTATTTAGATTATTCGAAAATCCAGTGCCTTAATTATAATTTTATTAAATAAAGGGTTATTATTATTACTAATTTTAATGTAAAATATATTATTATTATTATATTTATTATTATTATTATTATTATTATTATTATTATTACTATTACTATTATTATTAATATTATTGATATTAATAATTCTATTATTATCCTTAATTTTATTAAAACTAATTATAGTTTTCTTATTAATATATCTAATATTGTTATTAATTTTAATTTTATTACCTATTATTAAATATAAATATTTTTTTATTTTATTTTTTACATTTAATATGCTTAATTTTTATTTTAACTATTTGTCATTCCTTAATTATTTTATCCCTCATAATTATTTGCTATACCTTAAT